TATAGATATAGATATAGATTTTGAAGTGATAAAATGTTCAGTCAAGTGACAAAATCTGACAAATCCAATTACTCAATAGACCGAGGCTATTTCTCCAACACTTTGGGATTTCAACAGTGATGGAAAAATGCATCTTTTAATCGGTACAGGCAGAATAAAGATATACTTTTGATAATCTCCATAGGTCAAATGGTGTATTCCGTAAGAAGGAGATGTGGTCAACAGCTTGCTATTGAAGCCCCAGTGGAAGCCGATTTGGTTAGCACGGTCCCAGAATCAGCAACGCCTGCAGCACTTGGCTATGCACAAAAGGTATTGCGGTTGCCTGTTCCTTTAACAGCAAATTGTCTTATTGTCACAGAATAAAGTAATGAGAAAGGACATATATGGCCTCGTTTGGACTTAATGATAAGCCAGGAAACCTCCCAGCTGCCCCCACCTGAAGATGGAGTGGCTAAACCAATTCTGTTCTGTGGGTTGTTTATTGTAAATACAGTGATTTGACATTCTGGTTTCCTTCTGTCCCAACATGTGAGAGAAAGAAACTACCAACAAGGCTTTAGTGATCAGAGATAAGGGGAGAAGAAACTTGGAGTTGTAATAGGATCCTCTGTTATCCAGAATTTTTCCATTCCTGTCTTTTGTGTTTCAGAGTTCAAAATAAGACACTGATTTATTAATCATACTCAGAAATAGAGTCTGCCAAAGTCAATGTGGCTTGATTCCAAGCCAGCAAAGGATAGGACTAGGCTCTTAAGAGTTATAGCTTTGCTTGCTCTCTCCTTCACTTGCATGCTTGTTTAGTGAAGAGCGAAGCGATGCTCATCCAAACGCACCAAAGCTTGATGCAGAATTGATTTTTGCCATTTCACAAACTATTGTGCCGTGACCTCTTTTTCTCCTCTTTACAGTGCGGATTACCATATATTGAAGTATTGTGCAAAAACAGATACGTGGGAAGAACTTTCATTCAGCCAAATATGAGGTTAAGACAACTCGGCGTAGCCAAAAAGTTTGGGGTTTTGTCAGATAACTTCAAAGGAAAGCGTGTTGTTCTCATTGATGATTCCATTGTGCGAGGCAACACAATTTCGCCCATAATTAAACTATTGAGAGAATCTGGAGCTAAAGAAGTAAGTGAATGTTTCCACCCATTCTTTTGCAAGACCTGACTTTATTGGTTTACTAGTTTAGGTACCTGGTGTTGCTTGGGTTATTTGAAAAAAATCAAAATTTAAATTGTACAAAATGCATAAGTTTGTGGGTGAACTACAACTTACATCATGCCAGGTTAACCCCAGAAAACTCCATCAGTACTTAAAATTTGTTATGTTGGGCAAGTTTGCTCTAGATGCATCATTGGTGGGGTTCAGCATGCTCTCTGGCTGTAGGGTAAACTACAACCCCACTATGGTGAGTCAGTCCCCTCAAACCCCTACAGTAGGTTGAGTTAGTCATGGGTGTTTTGTGTGCCAAGTTTGGTCCAGGTTCCTCATCGGTAGAGATCACAGTTTCTCTGGTTGTGGGTGAACTACAACTCCCAGAAAGGAAGGTCAGTTGCCCCCCAAACCCCTCCTGTAAACACATTTCGGCATATCATGTATGTGTGCCAAGTTTGGTCCAGATCTATTGATGTTTGGGTTCACAGTGCTCTCTGGATGTAGATGAACTACAACTCCCTCAAATCAAGGTGAATTTTCCCCAAAGACCACCAGTAATTTTTGCGGTAATGGGGGTGCTTTGTGTCAAGTTTGATCCAGTTTCATATTTTGTGGAGTTCAGAGTGCTCATTGATTGCAGGTGAAATATAAATCCCAGTACCTACAACTCCAAAATGTCCAGGCCAATCCCCAACAAAATTCACCAGTATTCAAATTTGGACATATTGGGTATGCATATCAGGTCCAGATCTATCATTGTTTGGGTTCATAGTGTGTTCTGGATATCGGTGTACAGTAACTCCTATAAATTCCTCCAAAGACCTCCAGTATTTATTTATTTTTTTGTTGGTCATTGAGGTTCTGTGTGCCAAGTTAGTCTCAGGTCCATCGCTGAGAGTTCAGAGTGCTCTTAGATTGCAGGTGAACTATACATCCCAGGACCTACAACTCTTATAAATCATGGTGAATTCTCCCCAATAGAGAGAGTCAGAAACACTGGGATGTCTGTGGTGGAGGAAAAACATAAAATCTAGGATGAAATTGTCCCTGTATGAAAGTCTTCAGTTGGGTGGAGGACAGTATGGTGTTGGCAGGACATTGGCAGGGCCCTTGGACATGTTCATGGCACTCACTATAAGCTGCAATGTCATTGGAAGGAGGGCCATTGGTGTCTCCTGAGAAGTGGGAGCTATAGCTGTTTGTGGAGGCAGGGGCTTGTCTAGCTACACACACCCACATACATATTTTCACTTTTATTATGTGTATAGATTTTAAATTCAGTTTATAGTGCGCAAGACCTTGCTGAAGGAGAAGATGAACTGTTTTATTTGTGACTATGACTGCTGTTTAGTTACTGTAGCAGAAGCAATAAAGGGACCAGGGTGATATCTTTTATCCCTTATCTCTTCATACTACAATATCTATTTTTCAATATAAAACCAAATTGATCTGACTGTTGTACTATCAACCAATCAAGTCTCTCTTTTTCTTGAACTAACTTTGAATGTTGCTGTTGTTGTCTGTAAAACAATGTCAGTGATATATTTTCTCTCTCTCTCAGGTACACATTCGTGTAGCTTCACCTCCAATTAGATTTCCTTGTTACATGGGCATCAATATTCCAACAAAAGAAGAACTTATTGCCAACAAGCCTGAATTCCATGACCTGGCCAATTACATCGGTAAAATGTTTTAATATACCACCCCTCAATAAAAGTGTATATGGATATGTATGTGTATGTCAGGGGCCATGGTTGCGCTGCAGTGGGTTAAACTGCTAAGCTGCAGAACTTGCTGACCGGAAAGCCAGTGGTTCAAATCCACGGGATAGGGTGAGCTCCTGTTGTTTGCCCCAGCTTCTAACCTAGCAGTTTGAAAATATGCAAATGTGAGTAGATCAATAGGTGCCTAGGTCATGCTGGCCACATGACCTAGGAGACATCTATGGACAATGCCGGCTCTTCAGCTTAGAAATGGAGATGAGCACCCCCCCCCCCCCCCCCCCCCCCCGAGTTTTGACATAACTAGACTTAATGTCAAGGGGAAAACTTTACCTTTGTATATTTATGTCTGTGTGTATATCAACTTCATTAATAAAGAGAACTTACACATTTATATCAACAGCAAAATATACTGGCATATGTGTGTGTAATTGTATATTTAATTGTAAGAAGTATTGGCCTATAAGCCTGATTGATATCACAGCAAAAATATATGCAAAATATCTTTTGATTAATTGTATATAGAGAAAGGACCTAAATACCCTAAAGCATGGGATCCTGTGTTTGATGTTAAACAGGGTCAACCCTGGTTAGTACTTGGGTGTGAGTCTTCCAACAAATACTAAATATTTCAGACTAGATTTCTGAAGAAGGTCTTGTCTAAGAAAACCTTATGAAATTCAGTCGCCATAAGTCAATATGTTACTTGAAGGCATATACATAGGGAGGAGAGACAGACAGATTCAGACACAGAGATCCAGAAGGAAAGATATTTTAATCTTGTTTCAGAAATAGCAAAGATGGCACCTTAAAGACTAACAGATCTGCAATGACATAAGCTTTCCTGAACAAATTTCCAGCTCAGTTCCTCGAGGTCAAAGTCTGAATTGGCTGACATATGTACACAGATGGTTATGCAAGTTGGGTGGGAGATGGAGAAGAGTATGGTCAGGACAAGGAACAAATGCAAAAGCAACAGTAAGAGCTGCATAAAAGCAAAACAGTTAGAGTGGCAAACTGTGTCAGTGAAAGCAGAAACACAACATTACGAAAAGGCCTTAAAATGTTGGCAGTCAAAATTAAATATTACTGTATTTTTTCCTAATGTCTTGCTTGCAGTTGCATTTGCAACAATAAGTATTAAGACTGCAATCCTAACCTCATCTATTTGGAATGACAGCAAGCGCCACGTCAGTAAGATGTATCTTTGGAACAGGCATTTATAGGATTTAGTTATTTATTATAATTTAAATGAAAATATTTTAGCCAGACTTTAAGACAGATAAACAATATGTATTCATATTTATTCAGCTAACATCTCCTAACAAAGGATCCCCAGGCAGCAATCAGCCAGGCTTTGAAGCTATAAGGCCATTAAATCCCAATCAAGGTGGTCAATTGCAATATTTACACTTCCCTCAAGCAGACAAGAGTTCTTTCTCCCACCCTGGACATTACACAGATATATAAACCCCACTTGCCTAGTTTTCCAGCAGACCTCACAACCTCTGAGGATGCCTGCCATAGATGTAGATGAAATGTCAGAAGAGAATGCTTATGGAACATGGCCATACAACGCAGAAAACTCACAGCAACCCAATTTATCTACCAGATCCCAACTCATTGTGCCAGTCAAACAATTGGGCAATGGGCGCAAGCATTTAAAAACAAGATTCATACAACTCAGGGTTGAGCAGGGATTTGAATCCTGGTCTCCAGAGTCCTAGTTTAACATCCAACCTACCACACTGGCTCTTAACTGAATTGTTGACTCCTGTATTTCACTTTATGGCATAATTGTTTTCCTCTCTCCTTTTCCTACTCCTTCCTTTCCTCATTCCAGGAGCTGACAGCGTGGTCTATCTCTCAGTAGAAGGATTGGTTTCATCTGTGCAAGAGAGTATCAAAGCAAGACAAGACAATGAAAACAGCTTGAAGACAAACAAGTACCGGGCTGGGAAAATTGGCCATTGCATAGCCTGCCTTGTTGGAAAATATCCCGTCGAGCTGGAGTGGTGAATTTCCTGAACACAATTGCCAATCAATTCAACATTTGGGACTGATTAAATGTATCGCTCACTAGCAAACAAGTTATGAAACCACTCATGTTTTAGTCAAAGCGTTTTCTAAGGATGGTGAAGAACTAAGGATAAAAAATAAACAATGCAATATGAAACATTAGCTCTGTAACTTTGGGGCTGGAGAATTGAGTTTCTTAATTCCTTAGCTGGCTAATCTTGCCAAGACAATTGGAGTTCTCCTCAGGCTTTCGTTCAGAATAGTAGTTTCTCACAAATAACATTATGAGAGAGGCTGTGAGCCATTAAGCCTTCTCAAATTTTAAACCGTGATCATCCAGAGTTAAAACGTTATGTAAAAAAGCCAGTTCTTGCATTTAACTGTTTTCACATAATTTTTTATTCAGCTGTTTGCCTTCTTTGTTTTGGAAAAAAAATGAAGTAAATGTCTGTATTTTTTTGCTTATATAACTAAAGCTATCTGTTATAACTTGATTCCAAAGAGATCAAATGTTATTTTTGTACAAAGCATTTCTGAGACTTCGAGACTCAGGGAAATACTAAACCAAAACTCGCTTAATACCTTGAGCCTGCACGATTTAAACGTCTGGAAATACACTGCGTTTAAGTGCTTTCGTTGTATGCTAGGGAGATGTGACAGGGAAAATTAGGCAGGTTGATAACCGACTTTGGAGTGCTGTGATTTAGAGATTAAAAGCTAATTTTCTCCATTATGTTCTTTCACCTTGAATACATACTTAGCTGTAGTGTGAATATTTGCAAGTGAGTTTGCAGAAATGACATTGAGAAAAATAACGCACAGACTTGTAATAGAGAATTTTAACAAATGTAGTATTTTAATGTAATATATATTACTGCCGTGCTTGGTATTTTTGTGGCTTTTGTTAATGTTCTGTTTGTGTCCTCTTTACAAGAATGCTAATCTGGCTATCTGTGGTTTGAATTAGAATTGCCAGCAATTTTAACCCGATGCAGAAATTATTGCTGCTACTTCTTTGTCTTTGTATATGTTTTCTATACATACGTTTTTCCAGCTGAGTACTCAAAAGTGAAACATTCTAGAACTACATAAATATATTGGAGGAAAACGTGTATCTACCCTCAATGTGCTCACTGAAATAGGCCTTCCATCTATACATTCAATTCTGTTCTGACCACCCCAACAGTATGAACGTTGTGTATGTTTGGCCACCTGAATGTATGGACACGGCTAAATTTTTTCTGTCTGCAGTTTCTTTCTGCGGGTGGGCAAAGTCATGTAATGTCCCCAATCCTTTTGTTTGCTTTTTTTGCTTCTTTCCAGGCTCCCCATGTGATCCTTTCTTTCTGCCTTTCTGCAAAACAGGATTGTCTCCCCTGGAAAACTCCAGGAAGGACAGATCACTTTTTGCATGGCCCCCTACACACAGAGACACACCACTTTTTCTGCAGTTTTTAATATAATACGTTGTGCATCCCCATCGCCAAAGGGGCCACTCCCGATAGCCATGCAATAACAGCCACAAGTGTGTATCTTTATTTCAGGTTCCCAAGCCTGTCTTCTTCAGTTACTTCATCATTCTGAAAGCATCATTGATCTGCAGTAGAAAGATTTCAGGGAAACTATATTGCCGACCAGATGATATTATGGATGGAGCTGGAATAATAGCAGTGATAAGTTGTTCTGAAATCCAGCAACTATTGTGTTTTAGCGGGTAATAAAATGAACTACCAGGGCCATGAGGATGCATAAATGCACAAAATACAACATAGTTTGTGCTGAGTAAATTGATACTTAATGGTCACATTATAAAACAAAAACGTATCAGTCTTGTAAAGCAATATCAGAGAGACTCTTTTTAAGTAATTGGCTTTGAACTTCGATAGATTTTACCATTTGCGCTGGCAGTGACAAATTTGAAGAGATCCTGCACGGTGGTTATAGATGCTGGGTAGTTGCAAATTTGGCAGTATTATGTCCAACACAAACATAATGTTTGGTCAAAATTTCAGGTCCTTAATTGTTGCAATCTGAATATTGGTCCGAATTAGTCACAATGAGTTGCAACACATTTTGATGCACACTTGAGTCTTGTTTGATTGTTTGATTGGATTTTGCATCCATAATGTTGAAATTAATTTTATTGGAATCAGCAGACCTCGCAACCTCTAAGGATGCTTGCCACAGATGCAGGCGAAACATCAGGAGAGAATGCTTCTAGAACATGGCCATATAGCCCGAAAAACCTACAACAATCCATTTAGTTTCAATTGTATTAGACCTCAAGAATGGCATTTTGTTAAATGTCATGTACACATTGACTGAGTACTGGTCAGATAACACCTGACTGGTGCTACAGCTAAAATTTGAACACAATTAGASAAGATGGTGGGAACTTTTAAAAWWTTTTYGACCACTTGACATGGAATGKCCCACTTCTGAATTAGAGGCTTAAAAAAACCTCACCTTTTCCAGAATGCATAAACTTGGGCTTTTTTTTTTTTTAGKCCCTGGTGGCGCAGTGGGTTAAACCCCTGTGCTGGCAGGACTGAAGACCGAGGTCAGAGYTTCGAATCTGGGGAGAGTGCAGYTGAGCTCCCTCTATCAGCTCCAGCTCCTCATGCGGGGACATGAGAGAAGCCTCCCACAAGGATGGTAACACATCAAAACATCCGGGCGTCCCCTGGGCAATSTCCTAGCAGACGGCTGATTCTCACACCAGAAGTGACTTGCAGTTTCTCAAGTCTCTCCTGACACGACCAAAAGAAAAAAAAAAAAAGAAAAGAAAAGCTGTACATAAATATCCTGTGGTGGGAATGTGTCTCCTTGAAATGCATATAGAAAAATARATAAAAGACTCCCTGCACCAGAAATTACAACATGCTCGAAGCCAATATAATAATAATTTTATTTCTTACCTGCCTCCTCTCAAGACGGGTCACAGCACAGTAAAATCACACAAACATTGCAAAAAATCTATAAACACAATTATTAAATTGCAGTTCTATAAATATACATATAAAATATGCACTGCTTACCATGTGGGTACATGTAAGGTCAACAAAATCCAACACATTTCATAGAAACTGATACTATTTCCTGTGGTCCATACAAAACTGAGGTAATGAGCAACAGCTCAACAATGTTTTTTTAGTATTGCGAAGCTTGGAGTTGCTACTAATATGTCGGAAAAGGTAGATTTGGTGAATTATGTCTTCAAATAGTAAGCTGTATATAAAAAATGTATGCATTGTTATTAACATTCTCTTCTATATCATGGAACCTGGTCTGGATTAGATTTTTTTTTAATTGAATTAAAAAGCTTGATACACTATTGCTAAATTCCAAATATGCTAAAATCATTACTCTTCTTAAATAATTTGACATTTTAGAAAAAAAAATACCAGTATTGTCAAAAGCTTTCATGGCTGAAATCACTGAGTACAGCCCAAATACCAGTATGTTTATTTTTTTATTCTTTTCCCTTGCCTCTATAGCATTGAGAATTCATTTGCAAAATTAAGATTTTTAAAATGTATTTTTTGTAAGATATGCAAGGCTGAAAACTCTTCCCTAGGACAAGGTAAACTGTTTCAACAAGTTCCTTGGATCTTTTCAATTTACACCCAGTGCTCTGTTTCTATACTTATATAGCGCTTATATCTTAAAAACCAACTTCAACCCCATTCTCACGAATAGTATAAATGTTTGCTTAGATGGAATTATGTATTTGGAAGAAAAGTATGTATTGCTTTGATGAGCCATGACCAAATTCCATGTCAACAACATAAAGTTGTCTATCCAGATTCTGTGTTTCTGCTTCTTGTGTCTACTATGAATGTTCTTGGGTTTGATTAAAGGCGTTTGTCCAAAATAAATAAATTTGTGATCCTAGCATCTCCAGACCTTGATGATTCTTGCATGGGCACGTGGGATTTTTCAGAGGAGATAATATACAGAACACCTTGCTATGTGAAACAAGATTATCCAGAGAGGCAACACATACCTGTTCTTTTTCTCTGGATAGGTGAGGAAATAGATTGAACGGATCAGGAAACAGACAACTTCATTTCACAGCAACAGCTGATCTCGCACCTAAACAAAACAGTTTCTGTAGTGAATTTGCAAGCCGAATTTGGAGACTCATCCCTTCACAGTTGCAACTCTGCAATTCAGATGAAGACCTATGGGCAGAATAATACAGAGGAAACATAACTTTTACTGTCATTTCATGAAGGTCCAGTTGCCTTCATACTCAACCTTACTATTGTTTTCCAAGGCAACCAACAAACAGAAAATGCTTGGGACCTCTGTCATCACATGTTGCAGAAATGGCTCCCACCCATCTGTCACAAAGCAGTTTATCATTATGTTTTCAACTTCGAAAATGCTTGCAGGACTAAACGATAACTTAATTTCAACCGGAAGTGGGTATTCTTCAACATGCATTGGCCAATGCTCTATTACGTAATCTTAAAGATGGCCTTCTCCTGGTAGGACTTAAATAATTATAAAAATTACATGGTTTCAATCTCGGTAAGGTTGAAGGGAGCCAAACAGGAAGACCCATGAAATTGCCTTGCACATATTTCGCAAAGTTTGTGGCACACACAGTTTCTGGAGTGCAACAACTACTTTAAAAATAAGGCTACACCATTAAATAGGAACTCCTACTTTCAAACCAGGAGCAGAATTTTGTCATTATTATCATTATTCAGAGGCTGCATGGCCATTTGTCAGGACAGCTTTGGTGGTGTATTTGTGCCTGGAAGAACAGGGCAATGTTTCTGGGTTATTCATGTTGGTTCCTCATTGGTTCTATTGTAAAAACATGGGGATAGTTGAGTAAATGGCAAAATCTTTTGTCGCTGCACACCAGAAAACCTCAGTGGGGAAACATTCTAAATCGGAAAAGTGCATATGACAAGTTCTTGGTGGTATGGGGATATCAATCCACCTTGTCTGTCTCCTGAGGAATCTGTATAATGACCAAGAAGCAACAGTCAGAACAGACCACGGAACAACAGACTGGTTCAAGATTGAGAAAGGAGCATGCCAGGGCTTTATACTCTCACCCAGCCTATTCAATTTCTATGCAGAACAAATAATCATCATCATCATTTAATAACTTATTAATCGCCCTCCATCCAAGAATGCTCTAGGCGATTTACAGCTAAATTATTTATTATTTATTTATTTACAGTTCTTATATTCCGCCCTTCTCACCCCGCAGGGGACTCAGGGCGGATCACAGTAAACACATACATGGCAAACATTCAATGCCAGTTTGACAAACAACGTTTAACAGACAAATACACCGAGGCTATTTAACTTTTTTCTGGCCGCCAGGGGAGCTGCTGCTTTTTTATCGTCCATCAACGACACCGATGAAGTTCTTCCGCATTCCACATTCCGGAGTCTTTTTTCTTTATGGCCTCATAAATTAGTTAAATTTAGCCTCCCACACAAGGTGGTACCTTATTTTCCTACTTGACAGATGCAACTGTCTTTCGGGTTGCAAAGGTCGACAATGGGCTACACAATGGCTGGACACCCACTCCAGCCCGGGCTGGCTTCGAACTCATGACCTTTTGGTCAGAGTGATCTTAATGCAGCTGACACTCAGCCAGCTGCGCCACAATCCCATGTAGGTGTGTCATGAGGAATGCAAGGCTGGGGTAAAATTGCTGGAAGAAACATTAACAACCTTAGATATGCAGATGATACCACTTTGATGGCCGAAAGTGAGGAGGAGATGAGGAGCCTTCTAATCAAGGTGAAAGAAGAAAGTGCAAAAGCTGGGTTGCAGTTAAACATCAAAAAAAAAAAAACAAGAGTGATTGACAACTGGGAAATACAGAGGGAGAAAACATGGAAGCAGTCACAGACTTTGTTTTTCTAGGTGGAAAGATTACTGAAGACACAGACTGCAGCCAGGAAATCAGAAGATGTTTATTTCTTGGGCGGAGAGCAATGACTGATCTTGATAAAATAGTGTAGAGTAGAGACATCACATTGGCAATGAAGAACCGCATAGTTAAAGCAATTGTGGTCCCCCTAGTAACCTATAGATGTGAGAGCTGGACCATAAGGAAGGCTGAGCGAAGGAAGATAGATGTTTTGGAACTGTGGTGTTGGAGGAAAATTCTGAGAGTGCCTTGGACTGCAAGAAGATCCAACGAGTCCATACTCCAGGAAATAAAGCCCGACTGCTCACTGGAGGGAAGGATATTTGAGGCAAAGATTAAGTACTTTGGCCACATCATGAGAAGACAGAAAAGCTTAGAGAAGACAATGATGCTGGGGAAAATGGAAGGGAAGAGGGGCCGACCAAGGGCAAGATGGATGGATGGTCTCCTTTAAGTGACTGGCTTGGCCTTGAAGGAGCTGGGGGAGGTGATGGCCAACAGGGAGCTCTGGCATGGCCTGGTCCATGAGGTCATGAAGAGTCGGAAACAACTGAACGAACAACAAGCATTCCATAAGATGGAGCCAAAGTTGTACCAAAGTGCTGTGTGTGGGGCAAACACACCCAAGGGTCCCCGATTCATAAGCCAAATCTGTTTTGCCCACAGACGAAAAACAGTCCCAATACAACAGCAGACCCACATTTGTTTTTGCCACTTCCCTCCCCTCCCTTGTTGTGTGCCTTCAAATTATTTATCGCTATTGTGCTATTATTTATTATTATTATTATTATTATTATTATTATTATTATTATTTCATATAAATATTATTATTTGAAACACAACAAGATTAGTACACAGCAAACAAGATCACTGTGCTGGCTATTATATTGGATCACACGTCGGACACTTCCCAAATGTCTAGGACTGTGCGATGTATCAGCGAATAATGCATGTAGATCCAAGTAGGGTGGCCTTTTAATTTTTTTTATTGACATCACTTCTATCCTACCCATATCAGCCCAAAGGCGACTCAGGGTTGCGTACAAATCGGCAACAATTAGATTATTTTTTTTTTGTCGTGTCAGGAGCAACCTGAGAAACTGCAAGTTGCTTCTGGTGTGAGAGAATTGGCCGTCTGCAAGGACGTTGCCCAGGGGACGCCTGGATGATTTGATGTTTTATCATCCTTGTGGGAGGCTTCTCTCATATCCCCGCATGAGGAGCTGGAGCTGATAGAGGGAGCTCATCCGCCTCTCCCCGGATTCGAACCTGCGACCTGTCGGTCTTCAGTCCTGCCGGCACAGGGCTTTAACCCACTGTGCCACCGGGGGCTCCACGGCAACAATTAGATGCCGTATATAAAAATACACACATTGGTTAAAAGCAAAATAATAATAATATCACAATACATTTAAAAGCTATAAAAGCAATAAACAATAAAAATTATAAAAACTACGTCTTCTTGTTCAATTCCTCAACCGTTCCATCATCTTAGTCGTTCCTAGATCATATTCCAATTTGCTGAAGTTCCAAATGCTTGCTCAAAGAGCCAGGTTTTCACTCTTTTTCCAAAGGTCAGGGAGGCTTTTTGCAGCTTTTTTGTGTGTCTCAGGAGTGACTTGAGAAACTGCAAGCTGCTTCTAGTGTGAGAGAATTGGTCAACTGCAAGGACGTTGCCCAGGGGACGCCCAGATGTTTTGATGTTTTACCATCCTTGTGGGAGGCTTCTCTCATGTCCTCGCATGGGGAGCTGGAGCTGACAGAGGGAGCTCATCCACGCTCTCCCCAGTGAATCTCCAACCTGTCGGTCTTCAGTCCTGCTGGCACAAGGCTTTGTCTGTCCGAGAGCTGACAGATGGTAATTTTGTCAGTGCCACTTGTGTTTAAGTGCAGGCCAAGGTCTTGAAGCACTGCACCCAGTGTGCTGATCATCACTGGGACAACCTTGACTGGCTTGTGCCAGAGTCTTTGTTATTATTATTATGCTATCATTCTTAGTCATGTTTGTCCTTTCCATGGCTGAGCAGAGATACGAGCCGTAGTCCAGCACTCAAACCACTAGAATCATAGAATTGGAAGAGGCCTCCTGAGCCATCCAGTCCAGCCCCCTCCCAAAAAGCAGGAAAATTGCATTCAAAGCACCCCTGACAGATGGCCATCCAGCCTCTGTTTAAAAGCCTCCAAAGAAGGAGCCTCCACCACACTCCGGGGCAGAGAGTTCCACTGCTGAACAGCTCTCACAGTCAGGAAGTTCTTCCTAATGTTCAGGTGGAATCTCCTTTTCTGTAGTTTGAAGCCATTGTTCCACCATGCTCTACGCTGCTTCTTATTAAAACACAACACAAACAAACGCCAACTCTCCACCTCTGGCTTTTCAAGCCTCCCGCACTCCATCCCTGCCTAGAAAAGGAGGAGAGACCTCCCGCTTGTGACTCCTCCGCCTCAGCCATTGGCTCTGCAGGTTGCCAATCTCCACCGCGCCCTATAGCGTCACGCGTAACTCTGCGCATGCCCAGGACTCGCCCGTCCCCCTTCTGAGGTAATTTGAGTCTTTATCCTCCTTCTCTTCCGCGTTGGCCTTTGAGGTGCTATGTTTTGGAGGCATTGAAATGAATGTGCTTCTCTTCCCGCTGATGGGATTTGCTGCTTTGTGGGAAAGCGGACACGTGGGAGCATCTGTGTACGTTTGGTACTTCTGGCTCGCAGTGGGACTGAAGAGGCCCCAGAGAGAGATAAGACTTCAACTCCCAGAATCCCTTGCTATTGGCCGTGCTGGCTGAGGCTTGTGGGAGTTGAAGTCCAATGAAGAGCTTCAGTCTAGTGCTTGACTGCATTGGTTTCTGCAACTCAGTGATATTTTGTCGTTGTAAATTGGTTCAAGGTAATACTAAGTATTGTTTCACCAACGTTGTTTGCACTGTTGTTGTTGTTATTATTAATTTACTGATAATCTGCTGATATGGAAGCTCTCAGTTGCCAGTGCTTCATAGGATTGTCTCTAAGCCTAGAAAACAGTCCACTTCAAACTCCAGGTGGCTGAACTGAATTCTGTATATTTTGCCCTTTGTGTAATATTTTGTTGTAAATATGCACATGTGGTTCCCCCCCTCTCTACTTCTGCTTCATTGACTATTCTAAAGCCTTTGACTGTGTGGATCATACTAAATTGTGGCAAGTTCTCGGTGGTATGGGGATACCAAATCACTTTATCTCTCTCCTGAGGAATCTGTATAAGGACCAAGTAGCAACAGTCAGAACTGACCATGGAACAACAGACTGGTTCAAGATTGGGAAAGGCATACGGCAGGGTTGTATACTCTTCTCCCAACCTATTCAGTTTGTATGCACAACACATCATTGTTAATGTGATGTGCAGAGCTTGAGGAATGCAAGGCTGGGGTGAAAATTGCTGGAAGAAACATTAACAACTTTAGATATGCAGATGACACCACTTTGATGGTGAAAGAAGAAAGCGCAAAAGCTGGGTTGCAGTTAAACATAAAAAAAAACAAGATTATGGCAACAAGAATGATTGACAACTGGGAAATAGAGGGAGAAAACGTAGAGGCAGTGACAGACTTTGTATTTCTAGGTGCAAAGATTACTGCAGACACAGACTGCAGCCAGGAAATCAGGAGACGTTTACTTCTTGGGAGGAGAGCAATGACTCCAATCTCGATAAAATAGTGAAGAGTAGAGACATCACACTGGCAACAAAGATCCGCATAGTTAAACCAATGGTATTCCCCGTAATCACCTATGGATGTGAGAGCTGGACCATAAGGAAGACTGAGCGAAGGAAGTTAGATGCTTTTGAACTGTGATGTTGGAGGCAAGTTCTGAGAGTGCCTTGGACCACGAGAAGATTCAACCAGTCCATGCTTCAGGAAATAAAGCCTGACTGCTCACTGGAGGGAAGGATAGTAGAGGCCAAGATGAAGTACTTTGGCCACATCATGAGAAGAAAAGAAAGCTTAGAGAAGACAATGATGCTGGGGAAAATGGAAGGAAAAAGGAAGAGGGGCCGACCAAGGGCAAGATGGATGGATGGTATCCTTGAAGTGATTGGATTGACCTTGAAGGAGCTGGGGGTGGTGACGGCCAACAGGGAGCTCTGGCGTGGACTGGTTCATGAAGTCATGAAGAGTTGGAAACGACTGAACGAATGAACAACAACAATATGGCCATGTTCTAGAAGCATTCTGTCCTGACATTTCGCCTGCATCTGTGGCAGGCAACATTCACACCTACCTTCAACAGACAAGAGTTCTTTCTCCCACCCCGGACTTTCCACAGATATACAATCATTAGGGCTTCTGGGAGTTGGAGACCCAAGAAGATGGAGGGCCGCAGTTTGAGGATGCCTATTCTAGAACATGGCCATATAGCCTGAAAAACCTACAACAACCCAATATATTGGTTCCTACCAAGACAATGGAAAGTCCAAAGCAGTGTGCAAACAGATCATAAGCATATTTACATGATTTATAGCAGGGGTCCTCAAACTTTTTAAACAGAGGGCCAGGGCACAGTCCCTCAAACTGTTGGAGAGCCAGATTTTAATTTGAAAAAAAAAATGAATTCCTATGGACACCACACATATCTTATTTGTAGTGCAAAAAACATTTAAAAATAATACAATAATTAAAATGAAGAACAATTTTAACAAATATAAACTTTTTAGTATTTCAATGGGAAGTGTGGACCTGCTTTTGGCTGATGAGATAGGGTTGCTGCTGTTGTTGTGTGCTTCCAAGTTGTTTCAGACTTAGGTTGACCCTGAGCGAGGGCCGGGTAAATGACCTTTGAGGGCTGTATTCGGCCCTCGGCCCTTAGTTTGAGGACCCCTGATTTATAGGATCAGAGAGTTAGAAGAGATCCCAAGGGCCGTCCAGTCTAACCCCTTGCGATGCAGGGACACAGAAAGCACCCCTGACAATTGGCTATCCAGCCTCTGCTTAAAAACCTTCAGAAAAGGAGAGTCCACCACAGTCAACGCTCTAGGATTGTGATGTTCACATCACTGAGCATGCATCATTCAGTGGTCAGACCAAATCACTGCAAATACCAGAATGTGTATCACCATCCTTCCACATTGGAGCGCAATGGGTTAAACCTTTGTGCCAGCAGGACTGAAGGCAGACAGGTCATAGGTTCGAATCTGGGGACAGTGTGGATGAGCTCCCTCTATCAGCTCCAGCTTCCATGGGGACATGAGAGAAGCCTCCCACAAGGATGGGTAAAACATCAAAACATCCAGGCGTCCCCTGGGCAACGTCCTTGCAGACGGCCAATTCTCTCACACCAGAAGTGACTTGCAGTTTCTCAAGTTGCTCCTGACACAGAAAAAAAAATCCCTCCACATTCACTGGGGTTAGGGACACAAGATTCACTGGGGTTAGGGACACAAGGTGAAAACCTGCAAATAAAAACAGTGGGGGTTGTGGTAGGAGGGGTTTGAGCCCCGATTTCACCAATCGTAGTCTAGAAATCTAAGGCCCCTTCTACACTGCCATATAATCCAGATTATCAAAGCAGATAATCCACATCTGCTTTGAAATGGATTATCTAGGTCTACACTGCCATATAATCCAGTTCAAATCTGATAATCTGGGTTTTATATGGCAGTCTAGAAGGGGCCTAAGAATTACACAAATGCTTCCTCATGGAGGACAGGTGTGTCTCCCTATTCTTTTAACACTTGCATTTATGTTGTATATAATATGGCTTTTGCATTTTTTTTAAAAAGACTACCGTAATTTAATTGAATGTCTATTTCTCCTTTTTAGGCAAGGGGCATAAGTATCAACAATGACTCTTCAGGGGATTTTTCAGATTGCAGCCCATTTATATCCCGAAAGAACAGCAGTGTGCTTTGATGAATGCAACAGAGAGGCTCCAGTTACCTACACATACAAGGCAGTTATTACTTTGGCTGGTGAACTAACAGCTTTCTTGAGGAAACATTGTGAACTTGGTGAATGTTTGGAAATAGGCCTCTACTGCTACCCAGGAATCAATTTGCCGTCATGGATTATAGGGTAATGCTATGCATTTATCTTTTTATACAGTGGCTAACATTGATGTTTAATATATTACAATCACCTCATCCATACATTTGTATTATTGCATCCCAGAAAATGTTGGATCTAATCTAAAATATTTTATGTTTACACATTAGAACTTATGGGTCCTTGGTAGCTGCTAGATTAAGCTTTAGGACCTCCTGCGGAAACAAAAATCCATGGCTGCTCAAGTCCTGTTATATAAATTTATTTTTGTATTATCTTTCTTAATATTTTCAAGTTGTGATTTCAAAATCTGTGGATACAGAGGGCCAACAGTAAATGGATCTGGTTAATTTGATAATACTGAGAGAAATTTCCATAATGTCAAGATTGTTCTGTTTGGTAGCAGAAGCCACTAGATGCAGTGATGAATAAAGTGATAAAAGACAATTGCTCTTTAAAATATATGCTTGGTCTTTTAAATGAGAAACAACCTGAAGACAAGCAATAGCAACAAACCAGTGTTCATCTGAAAGTGAAGTTAATTTTAGGAGGAAGTATCCAGGGAGATAGTTTACATGTACCTAAATCTATGCCCTCTTAAAAATTTCTTTTGAACAATTAAGTCTTTATGGTGCTTTTGAAACTTTACTCTTCAGATTCAGATTTTTTTTCCCTGGCGACCAAAGTCCCATCTACACTGTTTTTTTCTTCTTATAATGTGTGCTTCATATTGTTAAAGCATAGAGAGATAAAAGGAACAGAGAAAATGTAACCATACAACATTTACAAATGAATATATGGTTGTTGTTTTTTTAAAGAAATAGTCCTGACAGATTTTTACTAATGAAAAAACATCTTCAGGAGAAATCTTCAGTTTTTGGTTCTTCTACTGTCTCTGATCCAAGCATAACAGTATCTTCATGCAGAGTTTCAAATATATGTTTTATGCCACAAGAATTTAATGATATAATGGCAGATGGCATATTTGGAGAAAGGTATTTTTCATTGGCTATGTTTATCCTTTCTCTACCCCCGTCTCATCAAAGGGGAGAGTGTAATTTTAAATATACTTTATTTACATTGTAGTCTATTTTTTATCGTGTCAGAAGCGAATTGGGAATATATCACAAGTCACTTCTGGTGTGATAGAGTTGGCTGTCTGCAAGGACATTGCCCAAGGGATGCCCAGATGTGTTACTATCCTGTGGGAGTCTTCTCTCATGTCCCCGCATGGCAAGTTGGAGCTGACAGACAGGAACTCACCCCGTCTCGTTAGTCTATTGTGGACTAATATGGAGATTTTCTGCCTTTCGGATCCATCAGAATTGGGACGTGATTGAATCACTAAGGAAAATATTGAGTTAAATTGTGTATTCCTGAGTGCCGGTATTGTAACATAAAATACTGTAGAGACTCTTTCTGATGCAATTTGTCAAGATGCCACATTCAGTGTTTGAGTTCAGACAACACTTTGCTAAATAACATTCTTTGTTTTGCTAGAATTCTTCAAGTGCCAGCTGCATATTCTCCTATTGATCCAGATGCCATGCCAAGTCTCTCTGCCTGTTTTATGAAAAAGTGTAACTTCCAGTATGTCCTCGTAGAAAAAGACAAAATGGATGTAAGTAAACATTTTGACAGTTATTTCAACTAGGATATTTCAGACATACTTCATCTCTCATCCATTAATCTTGCATGCATTTTAAGAAATAATCCCAGTTGAAATCAGTGTGACATTCTCCCAAATTGGAGAACATAAAAAATGCCATTGTATTTATCCTGAGTACTGTCTCACACAGTTCTTAATACTATATGAACAAAGTGTTTTGAGTTTTAATATTTAGTTCTGGTATTTTGTAATAAAGTGTTTCACATAATTTAGTTGTTGCTGTTAAGTTATTTTTCTAGCTTTGCATTAATTCCAGTTACAAATGAACAGCTGTTTAAAAGATGGATGTGGCTATTTAGGATGGGAAAAACTTATAGCATCAAAGATTTCAGCATTAAATTACATTATCTGGAAATAAATCCCACTAAACCCAATGGACTGTAACAAATTGTAGGCAGTTCAATAAACGTCATAGAAGGGTGTAAAACATGAAACATTATTACTACTTTGTTTACTTGTTTTAGAACATTGCTTGGATTGTGCCCTTAGGGTTAAGTATCTCATTCATTTGCAGTCAGACTTCCTTAAGTGTTCCAGGTCTCTTTATAATTTCAACATATGCTTTTTATTTTGTTACAAAATTAGAGAGAGAGAAATATACATCTAACTAAAAAAATTTAAAAAACCATTTTATTGTCTTTTTCAGAAATTCACAGTAACACACGGACACTTGTTTACTCTTTATTCCCTTGAAGTGCACTGTGTCAGCTTAATTCTTTTCCAGAGGAAAAATAGTGATGTAGATGTAAGTCTGCCGATAGAAAATGTAGAAGACAAACTTGAAAGTCCTGCAGTGACAAACCAGCAGTATGTGCCAAAACCATCCCAGGAGTTGTTGGATGTCAGAGAGAAACACTCCATAGCATATATTTTGCATACATCTGGAACAACTGGGTTGCCCAAAATTGTCCGAGTGCCTCATAAATGCATAGTACCAAATATTCTTCATCTTCGGTAAGTGTGTTTTGATAAGATTTTTTCATAGAACATTTAAGTAAACGTGAATAGTTAGAAGTCAAAGGGTTGTATATAAATAGTGGAAAATACTCAAATTGATTATACTATATAACAAAATTTGAAAATTTTCTGTTCCCGATTTGAAAGAGTTGTTTTCTGTTTAATTGTGCAGTGCTTACTTTCAAAGTAGTTGTTATACTCCAGAAACCTCATTTTTGTGGCTGCCACAAATTATGTTGAATCGATTAACTGGCTGAGATGTTTAGTGAAAAATTATAGCAAACAGCAGAATGTTGCACAGAAACAAGGTTTTTCCAGTTTAATAAACTTTTTCTATGTTTTTATGGTAGAGCCAGTTAGAAAATGACATTTTTAACCCAGGAACAAAAATCGTGTTATATTTTATCAGAGATAATAACTAAGACCAGGCCCTCCCTTAGGCATGTAGCTAAAATGAAACAGGTCCAAAACAGGATTCTGAATAGAGCGGGGTCCTTGGTTTGCTTCTCATAATAAACTTGCAGAATGGCTAGTGCATGATTGTGTTAAACATGGAGACTATCTGATCTAGGAGCCCATGCAGGGCTCTGTCATGCCCTACAAGCATCTCCCCATAGACTCTGGCAAAGGAAACATTTTATCTCTAAATGCCAGTAGTGCTGTATGCCTTCAAGTTGCTTTCAACTTATGGTCACCCTATCATAGGGTTTTCTAGTCTGAGAGTGTGTGACTTGCCCAGAGTGTTAGGAATTGTGGGAGTTGAAGTCCAAAACACCTGGAGAGTCGAAGTTTGCTCATGCCTGCTCCAGAGTCATCTGATACTCAAGCCATTCTGACATACTGGTTCTTATGGTATTCCCTTCAAACATTCCCTTTTATCATTCTTTTCACAATATAACTAAATTTCACAATAGTGTACCTTCATTCCAATTCTCTATAGAATTTGCTGCCACCACCAATATCTCATATCTCACTAAACCTCTAACATAGCCTATTTGTAAAAATAAAAACAGTTTTTATTTTAAACTAGTGTATATATCCAACATTGTCTGGGTGTCAGAGGGGCCACTACCCTTTGCTTTCCCTTCTTTCTCTTTCCCTCTTATACTTTCCCCCCTTTCCTTTTCTTCCTTCCTTCCTTCCTTCCTTCTTCCTTCCTTCCTTCCTTCCTTCCTTCCTTCCTTCCTCCTCCCTCCCTCCCTCCCTTCCCTCCCTCCCTCCCTCCTCCTCTCTTCCCTCCCTCCTCTCCCTCTCCTCCTTCTTTTGTCTGTTTTCTTCCTTCCTCCCTTCGCCTCATATCTATGTTGTCTTTCTTTCCCAGTGAAATCAGAGGGCCTAGCTTCACCTAGCAATGGCCTTTGTAATACAAACAGAAAAAATAGACTTTGAGTTTTAGTTAGATAGATAGATAGATAGATAGATAGATAGATAGATAGATGATGATAGATAGATAGATAGATAGATAGATAGATAGATGATAGATAGATAGATGATAGATAGATAGATGATAGATAGATAGATAGATAGATAGATAGATAGATAGATAGATAGATAGACAGATAGACAGATAGATATGATTTGCAACAGAAGCAAGATAGATAGCTAGATAGATAGATAGCTAGATAGATAGATAGATAGATAGATAGATAGATGTCATATAACAGAAGCAAGATAGATAGATGGATGGACGGACGGACGGACAGACAGACAGACAGACAGATAGATGTCATATAACAGAAGCAATGCCACTCTGTCTTCAGAAGCTTATGGTTATGGTATAAGTCTGCTGTTCTTTCTTTTACATCACTTAATCTATTGGTAACCCCAAGCCAGTTAATGATTGAAATCTAACCCATAGAGAACAGATATTCACGATTTAGAAATTCTAAACAAAGACATGTATATTGTTTGCGAATAGATGCTGGATCATCTAAAATTGAATTCATATAATAAATTAAAAATCCATATAATAAATAAATAAAGGTTTTTTAATTGATTTAATGGAGTAGGGAAGTCAGAGCATGTAAAAGACATTGCATTTTCTATTATGCTAGAATCATAGGTTAGTCTGGGGCAAATGTGCTTCTTTACGACTTAGTTCCTTCGTTTACTGAAGGAAATACAGAATCTCTTTGAAATAAGGGCAGTTTTCATATTCTGTAATATATGTAACAGATTATATGTATATTTCTTTCTTTGACAGAGATATTTTTCAGATCACTCCGGATGATATTGTGTTCATGGCCTCTCCCTTAACATTTGATCCCTCTGTGGTTGAGTTGTTCATTGCTCTGTCAAGTGGGGCTTCCCTGCTTATAGTACCTCACCTAATTAAGATGATGCCACAAAAATTATCCAGAGTGCTCTTTCAACAGCATAGAGTGTCTGTATTACAGGTAAGATATTCATATTCTGCCTCTGGATCACATAGATATAATTCAGCATTGCAGGAATTTGTCTTCTTGAAATACAATGACTGAAATCATTTCTTGTGTCATTAAAAATGGAAGTGCATCATTTTTGAAAACACTAAAGACTCCAAATTGGTTTTCTTGAGTATGGATCTATCTGTACTGGAATCCTTGTGCTGCTGTTTATTATACACATCAAATCTGTTTTCCTGAGTTGCTGTTCTTTATACTCCTTGTGTGAGCAAATAGCTACAGAGGTGTAAACGGGAGATTGTTAAAAACAGTTTCCATCCAGGTATATAGACAACCTGATGCTCGTGGACATTTTGAGCAACATAGTACTGTGGAGGCACACATTTTTTTGAGAAAAATAGTCAAGTGCATCCCTTTATTTTTCTCTTTGTCTTGCTCTCTTCCCTTCCCCCTCTCTACCAAGCAGACTGACAAAGAGAGTAACAATGAGATAAAGGGATGAAGTTCTGGCTTTAGTCTCAAAGGAAACAAGACAAGGCAATTAGAGATGTGAAGTGGAAAACCGTTCACACAAAATGTGGGGCTGCCTGTGTGCACAGGCTCACATATATCCTTTAGTGAAATAAAATTCTCAACTAGTTATACTGAATCAGTTTTTTCTTCACTTGAAATGAGAGAGGATGAAGCTGAAGGTACTACAGTTACACCTCAGCAAAAGAAAGTGAAATTCAGTGTAAGATACAGATATACATGCATACCAATATATAATATATGCCGGATGCCCCTCATCTTTTTGGTATGCATTTTAAAAATAATTAGTATTCTTTCAAGTATAGTAATTTTTTTGTTCTTAAAAATAAGAAAAGTGTATACTAGCCTCTACAAAAAGTCCACAAAATAACTTGCCCATAAAGATTTGAATATGTGTGATTATAATATTTAAACTGCACATGTTTAATCAGATTACAGTCAGCCTTCCACATTCTTGGCTTTCATTTTTGCCAGTTTGATTATTCACAGGTTTTATTAATACGTTGCCTAGGAATCTCTATGACCTCCATTTCTGCCATAGATGCAACACTTCTGTAAGCAGTACTTCTGTTATCAATGTTGGGCATACATTGACCATAGAAACATAGAGTTGGAAGAGACCACATGTGTCATTTAGTCCAACTCCCTGCTGTGCAGGAAAAGCACAGTCAACGCACCCCCTGACAGATGGCTATCCAGCCTCTGTTTAAAAGCTTCCATGTTCAACTTGTGGTCTACTAAAACCCCAAGATTACAAGTACTCTTTGTCAAGCCAAGTGTCAGGAGCCCCTGGTGGCGCAGTGGGTTAAACCCTTATGCTGGCAGGACTGCTGACCGACAGGTTGGTGGTTCGAATCTGGGTAGTGGGGTGAGCTCCCGTCTCAGTTCTAGCATCCCATGTGGGGAATGAGAGAAGCCTCCCACAGGATGGTAAAACATCAAACATCCAGGCATCCCCTGAGCAGATGGCCAATTCTCTCACGCCTTAAGTGACTTGCAATTTCTCAAGTCACTCTTGACCAGAAAAAACAGGCCAATAGTTACTCATCCTGTATCTGTGTAACTAAAATAAAGTTGTTTTTTTAATTCATGGCTTTTCACTTTTGCAGGGGGTCCTGCGACCCTAACCCCAGTGAATTTGGTTGGCTGACTGTACATTATTTAGAGCACTGGGGAAAAGTCAAAAATACAATGGGTCCTTCCATTGGGGTTTAGTTCCAGTGGCGTCATGAAATAGTATCCCTTATATGAAATGGCAAAATCAAAATTTTGGATTTTAAATAAATAACTTGAAGCTGATGGTTGACTCAGTGGATGCAGAATCTGAATGTGGAGGGCCAAGTCTGTTCCAGTTTTATTTTTTCTGGAAGACCTATGTTCCTGAAGAGAGTGCTCATCAAAATGGTCACATGTACCAGGTTGTCAAAGGAAAATCTGTTTTCAGCAGTCACATCTTTTGTGATATAAATGGAGCATTTCTCCAAGCAAAGAATGTTCACAGAAGGAGAGTTGTGTGTAAACCACAGTGTGATCTTTCCTAACCAACATGTACTCAAAACATATGCTCCTGAATCTGGGTATTGACTGAAAAGATGGGAATGGAGCTCTTTGCAGCAATTCTGTTCAAAGTTATTTCAAAGAGGTGTAAAAAACAATACCAGCCTATATTTTGAAACTTGGGGTCGGGATATTTGAGACACATGCAGAAGAGATGATAATATTGGCACTTTGGAAATAGGCCAGTGCTATTAGTGACAACTTCTCTTTTAATAGGGGTAAACTACCTCCAGTATCCCATCTTTCACACCACTCTGTTAAATGCATGGAATGCCCCAATCCCAAACTTGGATATGGATGTTGGTATATTCTTTGGAATTAATTAAATTATTCAGTTGATCTAGAAATACTAGAAGCTGCTTGTGTGAATATTTGTCTTACCGTAGTTTTCAAATTCAGCTTGGATGAAGTACAGGGAATATTATATTGCTGTCACTGCTGCCTCTTAAGTTAAAATGATGGTAGCACTAGGGCTTTGCCTAGAGTCACCCGGTAGCCTGCTTCAAGATGGATACTATCTGAGCCCCTTTAGTTGTCAGTCCCGGTTGCATGCAATACAGTGACTTGACACAGAAAAAGACTTTTGTGTTTGACAGCTACGCATCTGGAATCTTATTTTCTACAATGTGCAGGCTACACCAACACTCCTAAGAAGATTTGGAATTCAGTGTATTCAATCAAAGGTGTTATCTGCAAATACCTCCCTGCGCATCTTAGCTCTTGGTGGAGAAGCATTTCCTGGACTGAATGTGCTGAGAAGCTGGAAGGATAAGGGGAACAAAACACACATCTTTAATATCTATGGTATTACAGAAGTGTCTTGCTGGGCCACCTATTACAAGATTCCTGAGGAGGTTTTCAGTTCTCATCAGTAAGAAATGTCATTCTGTGGGGGTTTTTTTTGCCTGCATATGCTCTTTAGAGAAAGAACTTTATAATTCACACTCTCTATAGCTGTAGCAACCGTAGAGTATTACCATGAGTGCTGGGTGTGAGAAACAAATTCAGATGCAGGTTGTTCGCATTTGCTATCAGTGAAACACTCTTGAAAGAGGCAGTTCAGTTTTGAATGGTGTTGTATTCCTTAATCTAAAAATTCATGTGCGGTGAAGGGTATACAAGAGGTTTGGCTTACTGCATATACTCTAATATAAGCTGAGTTTTTCAGCCTTTTTGGGGGCTGAAAAAGCCTCCCTCGGCTTTTAATGGGGCCAAGTCTGTGGCATCTGTTTCCAGCCATTGCTTGCAATATATGATATATTTCTCTCTCCTCTTCCCCACCCTTAACAGTGTAATCTTTTTTTCCAAACCTCCCTCACTCCACTTCTCCTCCCAGACTGGAGTTGCCCATTTTGGAAACTCTTATTTTTTATAAAAAGAGAAAGAGAGAAGAAGGGAATGTTTTGAAAAGGGAAAGGATATATAGGGCTTGAGAATATTACAGGGGGGAAATCACACAAATATATATAGACATGTCTAGATAGATAACAATATATGTATATACATATAGGGCTTGCAAATATTGCTGGGGAAATGCACACACACACATAAATAGAGAGAGATGTCTAGATAGATATAAAAATAGATATATAGGGCTTGCAAATATTGCAGATTATTAAACATATATAGAGAGAATTAGAAAACACTTCAGGGGGAAATGCATATGTGAAATTAGTATATATAATTATATATCTATATCTAGCTCTCCATTGTTTATATAGGCACTGAATGTTTGCTTGTTACTATGTTGGAAGCCGTCCTGAGTCCCCATGGGGAGATAGAGCGGAATACAAATTAAGTTTTTTTAAAACAAATATTATTATTATAAAGTTATTGTTGACACCATATTATTTTTGTTGCCCCTACTTTTCGACTAACAGAGCTAGTTTACTGTTTTTCTTTGAAGTACAGTAAATATTCAAAAACATTTAACCTACTGATGCCTCAATTAATGTAATTTTATTGGTATCTATTTTTATTTTGAAATTTACCAGTAGCTGCTGCATTTCCCACCCTAGGCTTATACTCAAGTCAATAAGTTCTCTCAGTTTTTTGTGGTAAAATTAAGTGCCTTGGCTTATATGCGGGTCAGCTTATACTCGAGTATATACGGGACTTCTTTTCCAGATTGTCTGGATCATGGTTTCGGGAAGTGCTTCTGCCTTGCCTTGCCTTATTTTTCTCGTCTTTTTCTCTCTCCTTGGTTTTAGATGTGATTCCCTCGTTCCACTTGGAGCTCCCTTATCTGGAACAATAGTAGAAGTCAAAGACACAAATGGTTCTACTGTTCTAGAAGGTGATGGCCAAGTGTTTCTAGGTAATTTTTGTCTTTAGTGTTAGAAAAGAAGGTGTTAATTAACTGAAGATGTGGTAGTGGGCAATGGATTGCCTGACTTTAAGACAAATTCAAGTGGATAAGTCTATCAACATTGCTTACTCATAGCTAAGTGGAAGCTTTAGGTTCAACAGCAGTAGGCCGAAGGAAGGGGCGTGGGAAGGCTGGTATTATTCTAATTTCTTAGAGGCATTTCAATTGAGAGTGTTAGAAATTAGAAGGTTCTTTGTTCTGATTCTACATGGCTTTTCTTACAGATCATTTATTACTGTTGTAGTTGTTGGAAGCATTTATGTGACTAAATTTATTGGAAGCCTCAAGCCTTTAAATCAGTGTTCTTAACCTGTGGGTCACAGACCACTAGTGGGCCATGAGGATGAAAATTTGGCCTGCAAGCTTCTGTCCTCTTCATTTATTTACTTTATTTCCTCTCCTTTCGTGCCTCCTGCCACTCCTTCACTGTCGCTGATCACCCCGCCCCCTTGGATAGACCACATTAGCTCTAGACTATTAAACATGGTTTTCTATGGGCGAGCAGATGGCAACTACTGGATGGCATATGTTCTATATCGGAAACTAGAGCTGATGTGGTCTGTCCAATGCAATTTTCTGAATCAGTACCCCAAATAACCAAACCAAGTCTAAAGTTGACAAACAACTGATTAATAACCCTTTTGGTACTAATGTTGGAGAGCGGTCCCTGGTCAAAGTGGTCCCTGGTCAAATAAAGGTTGGGAACCACTGCTTTAAATGATGTAGATCAGTTTTGCCCAACCTGATCTTCAAAGGTGTACTGGAGTACAGCATTCCACATACCCATACAGCACGGAGCTCGGTGTAATAGGGGTTATATCCAGGGAAGGGTTATATCTGGGAAAAATATGTGGGGAGGACCATGCAAGCAAAATTGACATAGACAGAGATTAAGAGCAGCTTCACTAGTTAGCATATTAAAAATCTGTTTTCCCTCGACTAGCACTTTTAATATCGAATTAAGCGGGGGAGTTGATTTGATGTTAATGAAAAGGAATGGAGCACTCAGTGGAAGGCAGTCCTTCAGTGTTTCCTGTGGATCCCGTATGCCACCCAACCCTGGCAGTTGCCCATCCTTACTGTAACTTATATGCTAAAGTAGGGATGAAGAGGGGGCGAGGCTTACAAGAGCTACTTTCTTCTTTACTAGAAATTTGGGAACTACTAACTGATATCAGTTGGGAAAGAATAACACTTGGAATTATTTTTAACCCCGAAGATTTGTTTTGAATACTAGAACAGAATGTAGCCTTCTGAACATGTACACAAAATCCACCGATTTTCTTAATTTTAAATATTATGAAGCTTACCCCTAAATAATGTCACTCTTATAACTTGTTGGGAGTTAGAAATCCTTGCTGAGTTGACTGCAAATTGCTATGCTCTACCAGTAGATCTAGCTCTGTTTTCTCATCACATTTACTTTAAGGACTACTCTGACCTATGTCTGTATCCATTTACTAGCTCCAACTGGGGTTGAATTGTTAAATCCATGAAACTTAAATACGAAGAAACCATTGATTCCATGGGTCTCTTCTGCTTAGTTCTAAGAATTAGATTTAGGCTTTGGATATAATTGCATTTCCTCGTAATTTAGTATATTCTCATAATGGTAAAAACAGTTAAATCTAAAATGCTAAGAAAAATTAAAAAATAAGCTTAATGTTAAACAGTACATGAGCCTTGGTTGAGATGCCACAGGAAGCAATCGTTTGCTGAAAGCAGAAGCTTCCAAATACTTGGACTCATGTAGAATATGGATACATATACCCTGAATAGTGAAATACAGACTTCCTGAGCCCTTTTATTCTCTTGAAAATGCTACGCAGAAAGGTGGGGGAACCTAGCTATAAAAGCATGAGAAGGGGAATGGAGGATCCCTAGAAATCAAGCTGAAAGGCCTTCAATGGTTGACTAGTGGGAGGCATGGCCCAAATCCAACTCATTTTGTTTGCATTTATGTGCTTATTAGCTGCTTGTGGTAATCTGCTTTGTAACCATCCTTGTAACTCCTGATTTCTGTTTGTGCACTCATTTATTCTGTATCCTGAGGATTGATCTGAAAAGGGAATGACAGATAGCTCTTTCTTGTTTTGCGCAGGAGGGAAAGAACGTGTCTGTTTTCTTGATGAGGAAATAACACTGCCTATGGGTACAATGAGAGCAACTGGAGACTTTGTTCGAGTACAGGGCTCTGAAATGCTTTTTTTGGGGAGGAAGGACAATCAAATTAAGCGGCATGGCAAGCGCCTCAATATTGAATATGTAGAACAGGTAGGTGTGATAAATAACAATTTGTAAGAGGCTTATATTGGTAGTTTGGTGAGTTTGGTCCATGAAATATCTGGAAATTGGTCCCAAAGTTACCTTTGATACAGTAGTGTTTCCAAGGAAAACAAGAGATTAATTAATTGGTGGATAATAAGTTAATAGACCCTGCAATGTTCTTTTCATACAATTCTTGTGAAGGATCTGAATAATGATGAAAGGCAAAGACTTAATTTAAAACATTCTGCGAAGACAAATACTTATAAGATTTGCTGTATCAATCATTAGATGGATTTTTTTTTAATTAGTTGTAAAGCAAGGTATAAAATACTATCATAAACCAGGCTGGAGAATCTGTGCCTAATTCCCATCAGCCCAAGTAACCCAGAGGTTACTACAGTGACATGATATCCAACAATACCTGGAAGATCAATCCAGGTTTAATCCAATCACAATTATTTTGGAAAATAGAGGCATGGGAGTTTCTTTTCATTATATGCAGCTTGTGGGGTTTTTTTATCATTCTTGTCAGAATAACTAAGAACAATGGTTTAATTTTTGCAGGTTGTAGAAGGCTGCTGCCATGTGGAAACGTGTGCTGTGATATCATATCAACAGGAGAAACTAATTCTGTTTGTTGTGCCTAAAGGCCATTTGAAAAGAAGTCACTTTTTAAAGAAACTCCAGCAATTTCTTCCTAGTCATGCAGTGCCAGATGACTTTTTGATGATTGATAGTTTGCCCTTCACCACACATGGTAAAATGCATGTTTTGAATAAGGACCTTTCTTAATTTAAACTGTATTTCCTATCTTACAAAGTAGTTTTATTTAGATATATTACTTTAAATGTATACACACACACACACACAGCACATAAATCCAGCACAAATACCCAAGCATGCCAGTATTCTGTAAGATCTTAGTTTTTTGTCCCAAGTAGAGCTGATCCATTTAATCTGCAGAAATTGAACAAATGGTTACTTAACAAGTTCTCATTGATTAACTAGTCTTGTTGGGACTAATAAATGAATTTAAGACTGCTAAATTAGCCCTGTGACAAAGGAAATTGAGGGAGGGGAAGAGAGAGTGAAAAATTTACATCTATTGCAGGTTGTTTACATATAGGTTGTACTGCTTAGGAATGTAGAAGCAAAATGTACTGATTTCCCTGAAGTATTCAGTAGAAACAAAACCATGATTCAAAAGTTACCTTATTAGGTGTAGGGCTTTCTGGTTTTTTGAACACTAGATAACTAAAGCATATCACATGCAATATATGGTAAAGCTCTCAGAGAAACCAAGTCTAAATCTTTGTTGGACCCTTGGAGATAGTCTGGATTGCAATGTCTAGTCCCTGTTCTCGTGTAACTCATTTTGTGAAATTAGGCAACTGCATTGTGGTTAACAGTGGTATGGAGATGCATACAAGTCTTCTCTATCAGTATTGCAATAAAAATAGGTACTCATTACTTGGCCCGCCGTGGAGCTCTTGAGTCATAGAAAATAACAGAGTTTCAAAGAGACAGCAATGTTAGTCTGTGTAATGTAGGGAAAATGAGTTTTGCAGGCACCTTTTATTTCAGCATAACTTTTGGGGACCGGCAGTCCTTTTCTCAGATGATGATGATGATGCAGATCTACTTGTAGCTCAGTGAGATCTGCTCAATTTTCACATAACCAATACCTTTTATTCTTCTTTATGTAAAGGCAAAATAGATGTGTCCGAGCTGAACATGATTTACAGTAATTATCTCCACTCCAGAAGGAATGATGTTAAGCTGAGTGAAAAAGAAGAATTGTGGGAGAGATTGCAGTGTTTATGGAAGGTACTGGTTTCAGATGTATCTTCATCATAGTGATTCAGTTTCTAATAGGCACCAATTTGATTTATGTTTAATTGTAATGTATAATTGTAATTGTTTGTACTGGCACTGAATTTTTGCCATGACTTGCATGTAAACTGCTTTGAGTCCTCCTAGGGGTGAGAAAAGCGGTATACAAATACTGTAAATAAATAAATAAATAAAAATAATAAAGAAGTAATTCTGAATAAGGAACTGGAATTCATTTTAAATATTTTGCACCATTCGTAGGATTACTGTATCTCTTGCCACTCATTAAGTATTTTAATGCAGCTTCTTTGCAGTAGTTCTGTGAAAAGTGCATCTCCCCCACACACATATCAAAGGTGACAGCTTGATAAGCAGTTGCAGCAAATAAGCTTAATTACAGTTATGGCAAAGGAGCCTTCATTGTTTGTCTAAGAGCAAATGCAGACTGGAATTTTATTTTTTTCAGTGACTGTTTTGTAGAATTATTTCCTCTGGTTGGCATTTGTTGGAAATATAAATATTATAAAAACATGTGCATCCGAGAAAAACAGAAAACTGTTATTATGGATTGCCTCTGTTTTATCTGATCTGCTTTATCTCTTTTTATTATATTTTGTGTGCAATTGTACTGTATTTTATAATTGGCTTAAATACTTATTAGTGCCTGGAGTGGTGTGTAAGCATTAAAAAGACAAGCAATAAATGTGACATTAAGCAAAAATGATTTAATACTTAGGTTCTTGTTTTTATTACCTGCTATATATGTGTATGGATGCACTGAGTTTTCATTCTGATGTTCTTGTACAGTTCATTGCAGCCCTTTCACACAGGCATCTGGCAGAACAAAATACTGTCTGAATTTTAGAATAATACTCGTGTCCCTGTAGCCTGTCAGGTGCTCAAAATGTGCATGCATTATTTAATTCTGATCCAGCAGAGACTGAAGCCAGAAATACGTGAAATCTGAAAGAATATAGCATTAGGGGAGAAAACTCAGGAAGACATAGAGCGAGAGAGAGAGAGAGAGAGAGGGAGAGAGAGATGTAATAAGTTGTCGAAGGCTTTCATGGCTGGGATCACTGGGTTACTGTGAGTTTTCCATCTGCATGACCATGTTCCAGAAGCATTCTCTCCTGACATTTCACCCACATCTATGGCAGGCATTCTCAAAGGTTGTGAGATATATTGGAAACTAGACAAAGGAGGTTTATATATCTGTTGAAAGTCCAGGGTGGGAGAAAGAACTTTTGTCTGTTGGAGGCAAGTGTGAATGTTGCAATTAATCACCTTGATTAGCATTGCAAAGCCTTGCAGCTTCAAGGCCTGGCTGCTTCCTTTCTGGGGGAATCCTTTGGAAGGTGTTAGCTGGCCCTGATTGTTTCGTGCCTGGGATTCCCCTGTGTTCAGAGTGTTGTTCTTTATTTACTGTCCTGATTGTAGAGTTTTTTTTAAAGTACTGGTAGCCAGATTTTGTTCATTTTCATGGTTTGAGGATGTGTGCCATAAATGTGGGTGAAATGTTAGGAGAGAATGCTTCTGGAACATGGCCATACAGCCCAGAAAACTCACAGCAACCCAAATGTAATAGGATTTGTGTCCCCCGCCTCCTGATGCTTAACATATCCAAGGAATTTCCTCTGTTTAAAACTATAAACATCACATCTTTGCACATCTTCATTGAGCGATGGCTTAGTTCTAAAAGGGATGTGAATGATCTGTTCTAATTTCTTTCAGAGGCTTGTCCTTTTGTTGTTTCATAGCTTTCCGAATTGTGTCACTATTAGGTGGACAATTTTTATGCTTATATTGTTTTGTTAATCTTATGTGTATGTTGTTTACTCTGTATGTATTGATGATGTTTCTTGGAAACTGCTCTGAGTTCCCTTGAGGCGATAGAGCGGTATATAAATAAAGTATTACCATTATCATTATTATTATTATTATTATTATTATTATGGACATAATATGTGCTGTCTAAGAGCACATATTATGTCATCCTTCCTTCTTTCTTCTCCTTTTAGTCTCATCTGAATCTTCCTGATGATTCCAGCAGCATTGTAAAAGAGGCACTGTTTCTGCAGAGTGGTGGGGATTCATTAAAAGCACTACAGTTCCATGAAGAAGTTGAATTTATGGTAGGCAAGACCGTGCCGGGCCTCCTGGAAATCATTCTTAGTCATTCTGTTGGGGATGTCTATGAGCATATTCTAAGGACAGCTTTCCCAGGCGACGATGTAAAAGGAACCTGTACAAATGCTTTGAAAAGAAAAATGGGTGAAAGCGAGGGAGAGGACACCAGTGCAAAGCGGGCAAACCGAAAATGGGAAAGGTCGAGTACTGATGTGGACCCAGTTGGATTAATCGTGATAAGACGAGGCAACCGATCCTTGTCTATTGGTAAGCCGTTGAAGAACCAGAGTGAAACAGAACAAGCAGGAGATTATGCAACATGGAAGACTCAACATGATGAAACAATTGCCAGCAATGAAAATATAGCAGAGGTGGATTCTGTTAGAAAAACCCCTTTACATGAGAATCAAAGAACTTTTGAAAATCTGACACTGAACATAAGATGGAAGTCAGATTTGCAGAAGTGTGTAGATGCATCTCCACTAGTGGTAGTATCGACCACTGATAATTATCCATCTGCCTTTGTATATATTGGATCTCATTCTCACATAATTCAAGCAATTAACCTACATTCCGGAGAAGTCAAGTGGGAAAGCAGCCTTGCGGATCGTATTGAGTCCTCTGCCTGTGTATCCAAGTGTGGAAACTTCATCATTGTGGGTACGTATTGCTCTTCCTTTTCCTTTGACATTTTCAGTGTTCTGAACAGCTAGTGTTTTCATAAGACCCCTCTGTAGTTATGTAAGTACTTTAGGTACTTATTTTGTCTTGAAACCATATGGCAGTGGGAAGCATGATCATGAAGCAGGGCTTTCTTTTTTTAAGTGAATGTAGTTCACATCAATGGGCATAGGTTTTATAACTGCTGGTTTTTATGAATTGACATCACATATTGAAAAGATGAGAACTATTTAGAGCAGCGTTTCTCAACCTGGGGGTCGGGACCCCGGGGGGGGGGTCGCGAGGGGGCGTCAGAGTGGTCGCCAAAGACCATCAGAAAACACAGTATTTTCTGTTGGTCACGGGGGTTCTGTGTGCCAAATTTGGCCCAATTCTATCATTGGTGGAGTTCAGAATACTCTTTAATTGTAGGTGAACTATAAATCCCAGCAACTACAATTCCCAAAGGTCAAGGTCTATTTTTCCCCAAACTCCACCAGTGTTCACATTTGGGCATATTGAGTATTCGTGCCAAGTTTGGTCCAGATCTATCATTGTTTGAATCCACAGTGATCTCTGGATGGAGGTGAACTACAACTCCAAAATTCAAGGTCAATGCCCACCAAACCCTTCCAGTATTTTCTGTTGGTCACAGGAGTTCTGTGTGCCAAGTTTGGTTCAATTTCATCATTGGTGGGGTTCAGGATGCTCTTTGATTGTAGGTAAACTATAAATCCCAGCAACTACAACTCCCCAATGACAAAAACAATCACCCTCCCACCCAACTCCACCAGTATTCAGATTTGGGCGTATCAGGTATTTGTGCCCAGTTTGGTCCAGTGAATGAAAATATACCCTGCATATCAGATATTTGCATTATGATTAATAACAATAGCAAAATTACAGTTATGAAGTAGCAACGAAAGTAATTTTATGGTTGGGGGTCACCACAACATGAGGAATGGTATTAAGGGGTCGCGGCATTCGGAAGGTTGAGAACCACTGATTTAGAGGTTTCAGGAAAGCTTTTACTGTTGTTCCTGCAATGGACTAGTGAGAATCCATTACAACTCTCAGTCCCCATCTACACTGTCATATAATCCAGTTTCATAATGCAGATTAACTGCATTGAACTGCATGTAGACATATAATCCAGTTCAAAGTGGTTCAGTCTGCATTATATGAGTCTACACCAGAAATAGGCAAACCTTGGCCCTCCAGATGTTTTGGACTTCAACTCCCACAATTCCTAACAGCTGGTAGGCTAGCTGAGATTTCTGGGAGTTGAAATCCAAAACACCCGGAGGGCCGAAATGTTGGAAGTAGCAATCTTCCAAGCCTCCACTAACTTTTTGTAAATGTGTATAAATGTTAACCTATATTGTAGGTACATTTTGGTTTGTCAGTTTGACTGTACCTCTTTGGTGTGGGCGGGGCTTCAGACACAGGACTCCATTTTTGTTATACAGTATAGTTTTAGACCTCAATGGAGGTAGATTGCAATTTGTCTCCTTTCAGACTTCAGTGAGTACAGTTATACAGTTTGGACTATATCTATATGCTTAAAGACATTGGAGTATAGACTAGTATGCTGAATATAAACAAGATGTTTGTTATTATTTATTATTTATTTAAAATATTTATATTCCGCCCTTCTCATCCAGAAGTGGACTCTGGGCAGAGCACAGCATATATACAGCAAACATTCAAAGCTGGGACAAGAACTCATTATATGCATACATAAACATTAAAAACATTTGTCTCAGTATTAAAATACATTGTTTAAAACTGTCTTGATCATCCATGTCTAATCTAATTGACCTGGTAAGGTATTAGAAACATATTAGTAAACCTGATACATTATTTTTAAAGAAGACTACTTTTCATTTTTCTCTTGAGTGCATATTTTAACTAAGAGAGAGTAGATGGGCAACTGCAAATTCTACTTCAAAGAAACAACCATCCTCTGCTAACCAAATATATTTTGTAGTGGCATGTCTTCATTCTTGGCAGTTTAAAGGCATGGTTTTTCAGTTTAACAGCTGAGTTACCTGTGTGCCATTACACGAATACTTATTAATATCACTTGTTCAAAGGGTTGAATTATAACAAGGTTGTGTTTTTCTTGACTAGTAATTTTCAAAAGGTGGTTTCCACGTGTTCATGGAGATTCACGTTTGCCAAATGGCTATGACATCATTTTTACCTTTTCAATAAGGTTATGGTATAGTTAATTTCAGTCGGTCATGGAATTTCCAATATGAAGTTTGCCCATTCCTGGTCTACGCTGATCATTATAATGCAGTTCAAACTGAATTATATGGCAGTGTAGATGGGGTCTCATTCATCCATTGCAACTAGTATTGATACTTATTTTCTAAGTCTTGCTTCTTTCTGTTACCACAATTATTTACAGGATGTTACAATGGATTGGTGTATGTCCTCAGAAGCAGTAATGGGCAAGTACACTGGACATTTTCCACAGAGGACGCTGTGAAAAGTTCTCCAACTGTGGATCCTTCCACAGGATTTATCTTCATTGGATCCCATGACCACCATGTATATGCCTTAGATATTTATGTAAGTAGTAATGAATATTAAGATATAGAAAAATTAAAAACAGATTTCTTAGTGTCCTGTTTTTTAGGACTGTTCTTGGGCTTATTTGGGGCACTGATTTAGAAAATTGCATTGGATAGATCATATCAGCTCTAGTTTCTTAGATATGATTATCATGATTTTTATAGGTGAGCAGATGGCGACTGGCAGATTCCATATGTTCTATATCTCAAAAACTAGAGCTGATGGGGGACAACTGGTGCCATTTTTGGAATTAGCAGGTCAAATATATACCCAGAAACAGATCTAACATTTGAAGCACCAAAATATTTATTGGTGCCTCAAATGTTAGACCTGTTTATAATACTATAATCTAGCTAAAAACCCATACAAACCATAAACCACCAGTCATCGATCTTTTTAACATAAGCATTTGAAGATTTAATAGAACTAGACCTCCTTTAAAACATATTTACAATTCTTCTTATTTTTATGTTGCTCACAATCAAGTCAGTTAACAATTTACCTTACCTATGTCTTTGGGTACCTAATGTACCGTATATTCTGGCGTATAAGACTACTTTTTAACCCAAGAAAATCTTCTCAAAAGTCAGGGGTCATCTTATACGCAGGAGTAGTCTTATACACAGGAGTCGTCTTATACCCTGGAGTAGCCTTATGCATGGGAGTCGTCTTATATGCGGGAGTAGTCTTATAGAGTGCTGAAACRTCCAATCCAGATTGGAGAATCTGTGGTTGCTGCATATGGTGGGGGGAGCTCAAAAATGGCAATGGCCGTGTCCCTGCCATATGCAGCGACTGTATGAAAGCATTAAGGGTGACGCTGTACAAGTACGGTAGAAGAAAATCAYTTCATCAGGATTCGTGGACTTAATGCGGTCCCYATGGTGAGGTGAATGGGCGCCTCACCAGGAAGGTGTAAGTGAAGGGCYGAGCAAGCTGCAGGTGTCCGGTGTGCCAGGGTATGGAAAAAAGAGATAGAGTGATTCTGGGCACAGAAAAACACATCTCTTTTACCTGTCTGGCCTGCCCTTGTATCCTATTACTGTACCTCCTCCTCTGCCTCTCAGATCTCGCTCCTAAAGACTGCAGTGAAGTGGTGCAGGTGCACGAGATCTGAAAGGCAGAGAAGGAGGTACAGTAATAGGAAAATTGCCATATTGAAATCAAATCTGATGCTTTTAAATTTTTTATTTGGCATGAGTTGGAAGAGGGGTAGCCTTATACGGCAAGTATATTCCAAACTCTATATGTTAACTAGAAAAGTTGGGAGTCGTCTTAATAAGCCCAGTCGTCTTATATGCCGGAATACACGGTAAGTATGTTATTTGAGTATAGTTTTGCTTCCATTGAGATCCATATAATACACCAAGCTGAGTCTAGATAAAATAGGCCCTTCTGGGTCCGGGTAAGTGCATATAGGATTGCTGGATTACTAAAACCGCTGCTAATCCTTTTCATAGTATTTCAATCCCCTGACACGACAAATAAATAAAAATGCTATACTGAACATTTGCTATCTACTGTATTCCTGCTGAAGCCTTGCAACCATAGGCATTTGTGCCTGGAGCAGGGATTTAGAAAGGGGTCCCAGAGGGGTCTACCTGTGTTTCTATTCCCAGATGCAAAGTGATTGTCCACTAAAGTCTTCCATGGTGTCAATGATTGTGATAATGTTTTTGTATCTGGCTGCGGAGACACAGCTCTGCAATAGGTTGGTGGGCAGCTTTGTTTGTCACAGAGGAAGGAAGGAAATGCCAACCTCCGCAGCAACTAAAAAATAGCTATCTGCAGGCATAATAAGATAATTTTCTCCTGCGTGTGCCACTAACAGAATACCAACCCTTATATGTTACAGAACCTGTCTCTTTTTTATGAGAACAGTTAGCATAGATCTTTGCATACCTTCTGCAAAACATATAGCATTAGACGTAACACTATACTCCATAACATCCTTCTGAACAAAACAATAATAAAATGCACAATTTTTTGGGAATATCATATTGAGCACAAAGATATATTTGCAGGGAATCGCAGGCCTGAACAACCTGTGGCCCTCCAGGTGTCTGGGACTTTAATGCCCAGAATTGTTGTTGTTGTTGTTATTTATACCCCACCTTTTCTCTCCACAAGGAGACTCAAAGCAGCTGACCATTGAAAAAGCTGGCTAAGGCTCCTGGGAGTAGAGGTCCCAAACACATGGAGAACCACAGGTTGTGCATGTCTGCTTTAAAATATGTGCATTTGCATGTTTGTAAATTTTCTTCTATAATTATCCAGAATCATAACCTTACACTTATGTTTTCTTGTGCTGACAGAGGGAAGAGTGTGTTTGGAAGTTAAACACTGAAGCTGGGGCTGTATTCTCCTCTCCTCATCTCAGTGTATTACCTCACCATTTGTATGTTGCGACACTTGGAGGATTGCTGCTTGCTGTAAATCCTGTATGTATTTTATTGGCTTTGTATGGTCCAGGAATGTGTACTGGTCCAGGCTCCCTAAGGGCATTTGGAGCTTTGGGTAGGAGGTGCTGAAGGATTGTTTTGGAGAGACTCTTGTACAGACAATGAAGTAAAAGAAATAAACAAAAGATAGGCTACTTGGTGTACTTCAGATGTTTTAAACCACAGTTCCAAACCATCTGAAGCTACATTTGATGCAATCCTTTAATGTCTTATATCAGAATAATCCTCCAAATACCACAAACACGAGTATATATATTATGTATTTTATGATAATGTATTATTGAAGGCTTTTCTGGCCAGAATCACTGGGTTGTTGTAGGTCTTTCGTGCTGTATGGCCATGTTCTAGAAGCATTCTCTCTTGATGTTTCGCCTGCATCTGTGGCAAGCATCCTCACAACCTCTGAGGATGCTTGCCACAGATACAGGTGAAACATCAGGAGAGAATGCTTCTAGAACATGGCCATACAGCATGAAAAACCTACAACAACCCAGTATTATGATAATGTTTTTATCTGGGTATTTTAACTGTGTTTTACCCAACTTTGAGCTGTGAGGAGAGGTGTGCAACAATTATTATTATTATTATTATTATTATTATTATTATTATTATTATTTTCAAAGATGACTAATTAAGTAGAGCTTTATTCCATTCATAACCCTTTTAACTATTGTTAAGTGTATTGGCCACAATTCACTAAAGCATAACCTAGACTAGATGAGGACTGGAGAACTTTCACAGTTCCTATGTATTCCTTAAATTAGATAATATGAGGGGATCTTGAATATGCAACAATCACAGATGTGCAGCTCTAGGGCTGGATCTACACTGCCCTATATCTCAGGATCTGATCACAGATGATCTGGCAATGTAGCTCATATAATCCAGTTCAAAGCAGATAATCTGGGATCAGATCCTGAGATACAACGCAGTGTAGATCCAGCCCCGGAGCTGCACATCTGTGACTATTTCATATTCAAGATCCCTTCATATTCTCTAATTCAGTGGTTCTCTACCTGTGGGTCCCCATATGTTTTTGTCTTCAACTACCAGAAATCTTAACAGCTGGTAAAGTGGCTCAGATTTCTGGGAGTTGTAGGCCAAAACACCTAGGGACCCACAGGTTGAGAACCATTGTCCAATTTAAGGAATACATAGAGACTGTGAAAATTCTCCAGGCCTCATTTACTGAGCAGCTGCTGCTGCAAGCAGCTGGAGTCTGCTCCCTGTTGATCTGTAAGCAGCAGTTTGATGTTTCCATCAGTGCAAAAACACACAAATACCACACAAGTGATCTCTGGTGCAAGTGAAAATTGTGTCAGGCCATGCTTTTGACTGTCACCATGGAGATTGCTCATAGGGGGAAATAGAAACATCAGCCATCTGTTTCCCAACTGACAGAGGAACAGACCTTTTTGCCTGGGAAGTGATTTGGGGGGGGGGGGGTAGAGCTGGGAGACACCCCTGAGCTGCATAACTGGGTACTGTGGTTGTTTTTTGAATTAATAACCATCTCATGAGAGACTTCTCTGCTTGTTTAACATTATTTATGATGTTGCTTCTTTCAGTCCTTCTTATCTTGCCCCTCGACTGTGGAACTCTTTGCTATCCTTACAGCGGCAGACTAAAACTTTTTTTTATTCAGGCTGGTTTTTAAAGAAAGAGGGTTTCAAGATCAAGGCGAGAGTGGGGAGGTGTGGTTTTGGGCTATGAATAGGTTTTTAACTGGTTTAAACTATTTTTAAATTGGGTTTAATGTGAGTTTTCCAGGCTGTATGACCATGTTCCAGAAGCATTCTCTCCTGATGTTTCATCCACATCCATGGCAGGCATCTGCAGAGATGGAGCCCCCGGTGGTGCAGTGGGTTAAACCCTTTTGCCGGCATGACTGAAGATTGACAGGTTGCAGGTTCGAATCCAGGGAGAGCGTGGATGAGCTCTCTCTATTATCTCCAGCTCCTCATGCGGGGACATGAGAGAAGCCTCCCAGAAGGATGATAAAACATCAAAACATCTGGGCGTCCCCTGGGCAACGTCCTTGCAGACGGCCAATTCTCTCACACCAGAAGCGACTTGCAGTTTCTCAAGTCGCTCCTGACAGGACAAAAAAAAAAAAAAATCCACAGAGCTTGCCTGCCATAGATGTGGGCTCCTGCCCTCCTTCCATTAGATTTCTTGCATCCTAACATAGACAACTGTTTCTAGAATAGTAGTTTATTTTTTAAATCCCCACCATGTGTGTGCATTTGCACACACACACACAAACTGAGAAGTCAGCCAGTAAACCTGAAAGTAACCTTGAAATCACAGTCTGGGTTGCATTTTTGGCTCACTTTGCAACTCTGCAAGCTGCCGATGTCTCTGTGTGGGAAAACTAGTGTGTGTTGCTATTGCAGTTGTCCATTTTCGGTTTATGTCTTCAAAAACTCTAAAACAGTCCTTTATGCATCTACAGATTGTGGGGAACATAATCTGGAAACATGTTTGCGGAAAACCTATCTTCTCATCACCACATTGCAACAAGGACTCTGTGTGTGTTGGGTGTGTGGATGGAAACTTATACTGCTTTAGCCACTTTGGAGAAAAGGTAAAAAGATATACATCATGTTGCTTACATCTGTTGTTTATATACTTGTTTGTTTTTCTGTGTATTTGGTTTATTTCTGTACTTCAAAGTGTCTTATGTGAGCTCACAAAAGAGTGCGAGAAAAGAAATACAATATAAAAGTAGAAAACACAGCATTAATCTTCTTTTAAAACAATACAACAGTGGCAAATAGCAGGGGCAAAAAGAAAAAACATGGACAAAATATTTAAAAACTAAAAGACTACGATTATAATGGGGTAATAAAGCCAAAATCTTCACCTGTCTAGTCTCTTTGGGACTAGTCTTCCATAACCAGTATGTTACTACAAGAATGTAAGACTAGATTTGATATGTTTTTGCTATTCATTCATGATTTTGGCACTTTTTTTTCTTTATTTGTACCTGAATTGGCCTATTGCAACATTCACACTTGTTCTTTTTCACACTTGCCACCCTGGACATTCCACAGATATATAAACCTCACTTGCCTAGTTTCTAACAGACCTCTCAACCTCTGAGGATGCCTGCCATAGATGTGGGTGAAATGTCAGGAGGGAATGCTTCTAGAACATGGCCATACAGTCCAGAAAACTCACAGCAACCCACTAGCCCTGAATTGCTTATATGGATTGCTCATAAAGCAGCATGTAGACTTTTCCCCACATTTATTTCCCAGAGGATATTCAGAGATAGAAAGATGCGGATTCTAATTCTGAGCACAGCATCACGACAAGTAGCTATTTGAATGTTTTACCCTCCAGAATGTATTTATTTGAAAAATTGCTGGCCACTAGCACATCTCACAGCAGCAGTGCTGGGTGAATAAAGTGCTTTGTGTTTTCTGTCCTGAATCATTTGCCATTCAATGGCATTCCTTGACTAATGGCTTCTGATGTTGCTAAAGAGGGAAGAAGACTTCTTTATCCATACTATGCATGGCTTCACACATCTCTGTCAAGTCCATCCCTTACTTTTTTAAAAGTAAAAACATGCTGAATACATCTTTCCTTTTAAGGGGATGTGCCCTTTTCTGATAATTAATTGGAGATCACGCGAACTCCCTCTCAAGTCCAATTACATTCCTAATTGGGAAGATAAGCAAGTCAGAATTGCACTGTTAGGTCACCAGATTCTATCACCGTTGTTTTAAACAGCCAATAAGAGAATTCAAGATATTTTATCTTTCCTTTCAGCCTATTTTATTTGGAGGGGGGGATCAGGCACTTTATTTTTAGACATTCTTTATTTTAAAGGAAAATGTAATTTTGATGGACTTGGAAATTGTCTGATAACACTATGTAACACGATTTTGTTCCTGGGTTATAAATGTCATTTCCTAATTGGTTCTGTCATAAAAGTATGGGGAAAGTTTATTAAACTGTAAAACTTTTATTTTTTGCGGGACATCTTGCAGTACATTTTGCTATAGTTTCTCGATCTCAAGTCTCAACCAATTCAACCTAGTTTGTGGCAGTCACAAAAACCAAATTTTTGGAGTATATCAACTACTTTCAAAGTAAGTACCGCACAATTAAACAGAAAATGATACTTTCAAACCAGGATCAGATTTTTTCCCCCAAAATTTGTTACATAGTGTAATATACAGTTTGGTTCAAGAATGCCTCTTGTGCCAAGTCCTGCTGGGTATTCAACATGTTCTGAGGCCTTTTCTCTTCTTGATTTTGTAAAAATTGTTTCAGAGTACAATAATTTATAGAATCTAGAAACGTTGCTTTTTTATCATGACGAGTATACTTTGATCCATTTTCTGGAAGGACAGTTGTTGTGACACTTCAAGTCATTACTGGCTTAGGATGACCGTAAAGCAACCCTATCCCAGGGTTTTCTGGGGCTGAGAATGTGTGACTTGCCCAAGAACACCCAATGGATTTACACAGCCAAGCAGGGAATAGAACCCTGGTCTCCAGAGTTGTAACCTAATGCTCAAATCCAACACTGTCTCTTATTAATGTCTCCTTGATTTATTCTCTGTCTCATGCTTAAGTAATTAAGATATGAGTAGAGAGTTACTTTTGGAGCCTGGTATTACCCACAACAGTGATTTGGTAGGAGAATCTGCTCCATTTGAGTTTTCCCATTTCTTGGTTCTGTGCCCTCTGCTCTACTGACTTGAAGCCCAATTCAGACATAACATGCATTTGGATACACTTTGCTTGAAATCTCACTTGAGATGAAAGCATCACCTGAGATTTGCAGCTTAGTGGGTGAAGAGATCCTTACAAATGTGAAGGTGGTACTAGAATAACTCTATCTATATAAATAAAAATGTAATGTTCGTTTGTGGGATTAACATAACTCAAAAACCACTGGACAAATTGACACCAGATTTGGACGCAATACACCTATCAGGCCAACGAGTGACCATCACTCATAAAACACTGAAAAACACAGCAGAAGAGACTTAAAAAGCCAAAAACCAAAAAAAAAATACATTACAATACAGGTGCAAAACCACATATATACACTAACACACATATATACACCTATACACAAATATATATACACACATATATACACACAAAACACATGGACACAGACTGAGCCACAGCAACACGTGGGGACGGCTAGTATGCAATATTTCAGGAGGAACATTTGCTTTCCTCTTCCATGGAAAGAGGCAACCAAAATGGCCCATTTTCATTCCTCTTTCTGCTGGTGAAGGCAGGGATCTTTTGACTAGCAGCTACTTTTGAGGGGAATAAAAAGGAGGATGTCCTCAAGTTGTGATCACAGCCTCTTTTTCGTCCTCCAAGATGAGATCAGTTGTTTTTTTATCATCTGAAAACGGCACAGATGGAGTAGGTCTGCTCCATTTGCCTGATGTCGGCCTTTTCTTCCTGTTTTAATTTAATTTACCAGATTTCTACATGGATGGAACTAAAGGATGGCGTGCGTAACCACTACTAGACCAAAACTGTTCATCGTTTGAATCATTTGGCTTTATCAGTGTTTTAGGAACCTAAACAGGTTCTCTTGGGTGCCTCTTTCATACCAGATGAGAAAATCTTTATGGTTAAGTACCAGACTTTCATTCTCACTTGCTTTGCTTAAAGCTGCGGTCATTAAGTGAATTTTCCCTGAGTTTCTGGAAAATGTAAATATTAACAAGATTATAGTATTTACGTACCCAGTAAGTCATTGGTTGTTTACCAAATGTATCTGCAAACTGGGTGAGGCCAACTAGGTAAGACAGTTTGCAGTCTAAGAGTTCAAATCAATTTGGACATTTTGTAAAATATGTCAATCTTTTTTACGTAGTATATTAAATGGCCTAAAACATTATGTAACAAAATTCATTTTTTTTCTGTTCCTAGTCTGAAAGTCTTATTTCCTGTTTGATTGTGCGGTACTTACATTGAAAGTAGTTATCCTCCAGAAACTTTGTTTTTGTGGCTGCCACAAACTATGTTGAATTGGTTGATACTTTTATGAGATATTCATTGAAAAACTATAGCAAAATGTGCTGCAGGATGTCCTGCAAAAACAACATTTTTGCAGTTTAATAAACTTTTTCCACGTTTTTAATAATAGAAACAATTAGGAAATTGCATTTCTAACCCGGAAACAAAAATAGTGATATATAGTGTAATTTAAATTTAAATGCTTTTTTATTATTTCCATGTAGGTTTGGGTGTTTTCCAGCAATGGACCAATTTTTTCATCACCCTGTATTTCACATTGCACTAACGAGATCTTTTTCGGCTCCCATGACTACTATGTCTACTGCTGTAATATGGAAGGTAATCTGATGTGGAAGTTCAAGACCACGTCAACTGTATATGCAACTCCATTTGTCTTCCAAAGTCAGGATTTGGGAGGTAAACCACTTCTAGCTGTTGTATCTACAGATGGCAGAATATGGATCCTGAATGCAAAGACTGGCTTGATAGAAGGGTCAGGCAAACTCCCAGGAGAAGTGTTCTCTTCTCCTGTCGTATGTGGAACAAGGATTATTGTAGGGTGTAGAAATAACTATGTCTATTGTATGGATTTATGTATATCTGAAAACAACACAACTGCCTAACCGTGGTCTAGTCAAAATGTTCAATTTTGTTTGTACTACAGGTATTTAAACATTTATGTCTTCATACATTGGGGAGGGAGGAATGGGGAGGGAGGAATGGATTCGGGTTTGGGACCCGCCTACCTGCGCAACTGCATTTCCGTCTACGAACCCACACAACCTCTTCGAGAGGCTCTTCTCTCACTCCCGCCTGTATCGCAAGTGCGACTTTTGGGGATGAGAGAAAGGGCCTTCTCTGTGGTGGCCCCCCGGCTCTGGAATTCAGTCTCCAGAGATATTAGGCAAGCCCCCACACTGGCAATCTTCAGGAGGAATCTGAAAACCTGGTTATTCCAATGTGTCTTCAATGATTGAATGTAAGAGATTCCCTGACCAAATTTCACACTAATGACCTCAGAAGCACTTTACTTTATGGTTCATGCAATTAATTCCTTCCTCAATCCGGATCTCCCTCCCCAATAATTTCCATTGCCCAATCTCCCAGTGTTTTAAAATTTTAAAATTTTATCCTTAAATTTGGCCTTGCCCCGTGCAATTTCTGTATGTTTAATGTCCGATTTTATACTGCTGTCTCGCTTATTATTTAGGTTTTGCATTTTATGTTTTTTTAGTTCTGTTATGCCTTGTGTTATAGTGTATTATGCTTTTGTGTAATATTGTGTTTACTGTATTGATGGGCGTGGCCTCATGTAAGCCGCCCCAAGTCCCCCTGGGGGAGATGGAGCGGGGCATAAATAAATAATAATAATAATTATTATTATTATTGTATTGTCGAAGGCTTTCATGGCTGGAATCACTCAGTTCTTGTGGGTTTTTTCGGGCTATATGGCCATGTTCTAGAGGCATTTCTCCTGACGTTTCGCCTGCATCTATGGCAAGCATCCTCAGAGGTGAGGTCCTCTGAGGATGCTTGCCATAGATGCAGGCGAAACGTCAGGAGAAATGCCTCTAGAACATGGCCATATAGCCCGAAAAAACCCACAAGAACTGAATTATTATTATTATTATTATTGATTACATAGCACTGAAACTTAGATTTTTTTCATTGCCAGGATGCTTTGATTCTGTGTTTCTGTATGCCAAAGGGTTGAATTGGATGGCCCCTGTGGTCTCTTCCAACTCTACAATTCTATGATATAGTATGAATATGTGTTCATTCCACCCAGTTAGTGACATATCACAACATCAATCCACCTTAGTGTGCACAAGTCTTGGTTGTTCTGTGAAGTCAGAAGTGTCTTCTTCCTTCGGCAATAACCAAAGCACCCCTTACACTCACAATTTAGCTGCTACAGCCGCCATTCCATAGTCACTCAGTAGCCAATGGAGAATATGGTTAGAGGATATAGAAAAGCAATGTCTATCTCCCTATAGTCAGATGCAGAACAATGACATCATCCACCAGGACCCTGGCTGATCTGGGTAGATGACGTTGTTGACTTACAGGGATATAGCCAAGGGATTCTCCAATTCCCTCTTCTTTCCATAACTATTCAGTAGCTGGGGAATTGGCCCGGGACCTGCTGAGGGTGGAGAGGGGAAATGTATTGTATTTCTTCTTGTGAGACTTTCATAGTATGCCATGTAATACAGAATCTTAATGCTTGGGCATATTACAAGCTTTTAGTAGTCATGATTATTATTACGTAATGCACTCAAATGTACTAAATATTTGCTGTTTAAGATGCCAATCCATATTTATTATATTTTCAGAAGCAGAAGACAATTCTTGTCAAAACAAAGGGTGATGTTTATGATTAAAGAAACATAAGGCTGTGATGACACTATGAATGTTTTGTTCTTGCAAAAATCATCCATTTGGAAGTAGCAGTATGCTTAATAATATAGAAGTGTGAAAAGGTTTGGTTGTCACATGATGGCCGAAGGAACATATATGCCGAGTTAAACAAATGTAGGTGGAAAATGGATATTTCATAATTATATATTGAAATACTTTTTATATAAAATGTTTTTTTCTTTCTTTCCTTTTTTTCTCCTTTACAAATTACAAAATCTAAGAGCTTTTAACATATTGAAACGTTAGGAAAAAGCTCCTGCCTGCTTCTTCCTTTTTTTGGGTCACATAATTACAATTTTTAATTCTTTGATACTTTAATATGAAAGGTAGCTCACATTCCACATAGGAACATTTTAAATATGTATCTCAGGGGTCCTCATATTGTATTTTGCTGCTGAGTACAGCCCGCCAATGTTTTTTCCCTTGGCCCCGCCCCACTCACACCCCTGCCATTCATGGAGAAATAGGAGGGAGGAGAAAAGGGAGGAAAGGAAGGAAGAGGTGAGAAAGGAGGGAAGGAAGAAGGAAGAAACAGAAGAGTGAAGGTAAGAAGGAAGGAAAGAGGGAAGAAAAAAGGGAGGAAATGAAGGAAAGAAAAAGCAGAAGGAAGGCAAGAGGAAAGGAGGAAGAAGGAGAGAAGAGAGAAGAAGGAGGAGAAAGAAAGGAGAAAGGGAAAAGGAGGAAGAAAAAAGTGAGAAGAAGGGAGAAGGAAAGAAAGAAAGAAAGAAAGAAAAGAAAAGAAAGAAAGAAAAAAGAAAGAAAGAAAGAAAGAAAGAAAGGAGGAAAAAGAGTGGGAAGGAAGAAAAAAGAAAAAGAAAGGTAAGTAGGAAACAGAAGGAATTCAGCATTCAGAAAGCATGGCGTAGTGATTTGAACCTCAGACTGTGGCTCTGGACCCACTGAGTGACATTAGCCACTCTCAGCCTCAGGGGAAGACAAAGACAAATTCCTTTTGAATATATCTTGACCAGAAAACTCTATGAAAGGGTCACCTTAAGCCAGAAACGACTTGAAGGTACACAACAACAATCGTTTAACTTGATGATCTCATCAGCCAAAAGCAGGCTCACACTTTGCACTGAAACACTGGTAAGTTTATGTTGGTTAAAACTGTTCTTCATTTTAAATATTCTATTGTTCTTTCATGGTTGTGCACTACAAATAAGATTTGTGCAGTGTGCATAGGAATTCGTTCATTTCCTTTTTTTCAAACTATAGTTGGGGCCCCCACAGTCTGGGCAACCATGAACTGACCCTCCGCTTTAAAAGTTTGAGTACCCCCGATGTATCGTATTCACTTCCTAAAGATCTGTTTGTTTTTTAAGCACATGGCTCAAAGCCCTTCGATTATATTTGCAGTATATTCTTTAGCAATCGTTTCACAGTTGTGGCCTGGAAGTGACTGTAAATGTTGCAGTATTTTGTTTGTCTGACTTTGAAAATTATAAAAAGAACATGTAAAATTATGCAGTATTATGAAGGTTATCCGGAAAGTAAGGTTATAAGGCACGTAGCTCTCGCAGGAACTTTTCGTGGGAGAAATTGGTATAACTGCTGTGTAGTGGGAAATCAGTGGAAGCGAACGAGCAGTGCCAGTCATCAGTAGCTTATCGACTGGCATTGTGGTGAAGGTTAGAATTGAGCGTCCTCATTCTGTTTCCCTCCAAGTGTGACATTTGTGCTGTAATACACTACCTAAATGTTAAGGGCATAAACGTCGCTGCAATTCATCACTCAATCGTTTCAATTTATGGAGAGGACATGATATCAAGGCAGCATGTAGCAAAATCGGTATGGAATTTCAATTGCAGAAGGATGGAAATTCATGATGAAGAGAGAAGTGGACAGCTGTCCGTTGTGACTGATTATGTGGCTGAAAAAGGCGGCAGGAGACTTCTGTGACACAGGCATCAAAAAACCTGTCCCACAGATGACAGAATATATTGAACTGAATGGTGATTATGTGGAAAAATAATGTAGTACCTATGCTACAATCCATGTAAGTTTTATTAAAATATATTCATCCTTTGTCTTTTAAAAAAATATTGTAACCTTACTTTCCGGATATCCCTTGTACAGCATGAACTTGTACTTGGAGGGAAACGGAATAAGGTCACTCATCTCTAACCTTCACCACAACGCCAGTCAATGAGCTACTGACGACTGGCACTGCTCGTTTGCTTCCACTGGCTTCCCACTACACAGCAGTGATACCAACTTCTCCCATGAAAATTCCTTGCGAGAGCTACGTGCCTTGTAAACTTACTATCCAGATAACCCTTGTACATAATTATAGTGTATAATCAATTGTGCTTTTTCCCTTTTCACCAAAAAATATCAATGGTTCAATTTTTAATGTCAATATGAACTTCTTCTAAAACATGTAAGAATGATTAAAGAAAGAGTACTTTCATAGCTATAGAAACACTTGGATTTTTTTTTATTGAAATAGAACAAATTTTCAGTGATGGACCATTTACAGTAAAATCTTGACAATCAAAACTGAAAATAGAAATTGCACTAACATATCCCTTAGTTATAGATAATTTTACTCAGATTTTACTGTTCATAAAAACACATAATTAGATCCTATCGCAGTTTCAGGCTCTCCTGATAAGGCAAACCTGATATTTTCTTAACAAAAAGACAATGAATACGTACACTTTCTGATAACTTTCAGCAGATTATAATTTAAAAGGAATTAAAATGACATTAGTATAAGAAACAATTGCACTTTAAAACATCTGAAAAATTAAAAAAGTACACAAAACAAAACCCCACAATTATACATTTGTTTATAATTTTATACACCACTATATGAACTGAGGTTGATTATCTTTAACCTCACATAATATTTTGTCCCATTTAGAAAATGTTAATTATGCCCAACACCTGATAATCTATAGGATAACGTCATTATGACTTATTTTACAACTCCAATGATTTTGACAGGATTTGGGTACAGTTACTTCCTTTGGAACAGGACTTCTGTGTACAAGTTACCAAAAAAGAAAATATGAGAGAGAGAGATCGAGAGAGAGATCATATTGTATATAGTGGTTGAATCAGTTTTAAAAGTGTTGGAAGTCATTCCGTGTTGGTTTTCCATTTTACAATTTCCATAGCATGTTTCGTAAGAAAGGTTGCAAAACAAAGCTTAAGCAAAGTAACACTTTACTGGTATTTAGTGCAAATTTTCAAGTTGATTTTTACATGAAATGACCAATGTTGAAAATATCGTATAAATGTTTCCTAACAAATATTGTACAACATTCCAGCTCTGATCGAGACACAGATCTACACTGCCTTATAACCCAGGATCTGATCCCAGATAATCTGGCAGTGTAGACTCATATAATCCAGTTCAAAGGAAATAATCTGGGATCAGATCCTGGGATATAGGGCAGTGTAGATCCACAGCCTATGTGGAAATGCCTTCCCCTTAAACACACAAAAGTGTGCTGCATAGGCCCCTACATCCAGCATCGGGAGTACCTCTGCATAGACAGAACAGTGTGCGGTGTAAATAATACTGTTGCCTTAGGTCCCTTTTACTTTTACACTGCCATATAATCCAGATTATCTAAGTAGATAATCCACATTGAACTAAATTATCTGAGTCTACATTGCCATATAATCCAATTCTAAGCAGATAATCTGGATTTTATATGGCAGTGTAGAAGGGACCCTAGATGCACTGACCAACTGTTCAGACAGAAGGAAGCATGAGCAGATTCTTCTAATGGAGAATCCAAGTGCCCCTTGCTGTCTAAGAAGTGAGTAGAGCAGTCAATGCTGATGGTATGCCTGGCAATGAACGAACCGAGAAACGCTGCTCTGCCAAGCAGGGAATGGCCAGCCTTCTGATCAGGGCCTCTGGATAAACTTCCCGTACACTAGATACCTTCATGCTTGAAAACACTTTGCTTCTGAAGCTTTAGAACTATTTATTTACTAACTATATATTCTGTGCTAACAGTGTGCCTAGAATTCTGTTGGAATCCTTATTTTTCCCTTTCAGCATGCAAATAGTGCCTATGCCCCCCCTAATATTTCTTTCATCCCTATCCACTTCCAGATCCCCTCCCCCTTCTCCCAACCCTACTTTCCCATGCCAGAACAACCTTGGAAATGGATTTTGAGGGAATTGAAAGTTATAATTACAGTTTATGCAATTGCAGATTTAAATGTGGGTTTAAAAATGTTTTTAAACATCTTTCATACCACCAGCAAAATGTTTCTGCACCAGTCAGAGCAAATCAGAATTTGCTTTAATTATATCCTCTACTAAGTGCCCTTTTTGTCCTGGTAACTCCTTCTGGAGTAAATGGATAAATTTCTAAGATAATGGAATGCCTTCCTGCTTCACCTTGGCCTCGGTGACGAGAAGGTGCTTGCATTTTTCAAGTTCCTAAAGGTTGGCAATGTGGAAAACAGTTACCATACATTAATATTGCCATCAAACACAGTTCTTAAAAAGGGCCATACTGTTTCTCTGGAGCAGAATGATATAAAATAGACTATTATTCAGCAGTTAACCACATCAGCCCATTCTCAGTTCTCATAAAGACCTGAGAACAGTTTCCCCTTGCATTAATAATCCTGCCTGAAAGTAATGAACCTTTGGGGATATCAATGGGTTGGATTTATAGATGAAATTAAATTGTAACATTAAGAGCCCAGTAGCCATAAGACCAATCCTATGTAGACTGAATTGACTATCCACTCTGCAGATACACACAAACACAACTGATCTATTCTTTGTTTTGTAGCACGATGCTTGTTCATTAATGGCATCTGCTGACTTGTTCTTTTAGATACTTTGGAGCAGAACTGATGTTCTCATACTCTTGGATGAGGGACAGAGTTCTCCCCTCGCTCAGACTAAAGCAATGCGATAATATGAGCATTTACTGTTTGACAAAGCAAAACACAAGTCTGCCTCTTATGATGAATAGTTAGACGATTTCCTTTACAGCGTAACACACAAACCAGTTAAAACTGAAATCCGTTTAAGCCAGTTTAGACCAACTATTACAGCCCGAATTCATTGCATTGTTGACCTTTCCCACAATTGTCGAGTAGGAAGCCGTTTTGAGAGTTACCATGAAAACATGTCACTACTATCTCCATACTATAGGAAAATCAAAGGGCAGCAAGACGTCACTGCAAAGAAATTACACGTATCCCTGCAATGTAACTTTTTCTGTAATCTGAAGCATGATCTAATACTTTTATCAGTACATCAATACGAAGGAACTAACAACTACGTTGTTTTGAAACATGCCATGAACAAAAGTGCCGTCGTGATTGTTTTTGCCAGCGATAACATGCAGATCTGCCAGGCACAGTAGCTAAAGACTAAGGTGCTAATGAAATACAGATAAAATTATGACTTTCCTGAGAATATTCAGTGTAAGGTCCACAAGAACAAAGCGAGAATAGTCTAGCCCCTTCTGATCCCCAAATTATTTCCCCTAAATCTGCTGTATTGTAGACTCTTGTCTCCCAACATGCCACCTTGTATTGAAAAGGTTGCTTAACCAAGGGGGGGGGGGGGGGCTTTGTATGTTATGTAAATTGAGCATAATATGAAATGTTATGTAAATTAAATATAATATGAATGATGTGGGCTGGCTTTAACATGGGTTTTCAATACTCCATTGCAGTTGTTTCTCTCTCTCTGCGTGGTGCTCCCCATTACCGGAAGAGAAAGGCTTATATGGTGTGTTACCAGATATTATCACAGTAGCCTGTATCGGCATACTGCGCACGGGAAAATGTTATAACGTGTTTCTGCAGGTAATGGTTTGAAGGATCGTAAATAGAAAGATAGCATGGAAATGCTCATTTGACAAAACCCCAGTTTTAGCGAATTAACTAAGCTGATATATTTAAATACTTCCTGATAGAAGCTACTGATAAAAAGCGATGTTTATCACACAAAAAAATCTCAATTTTTTAAAAAACATTGAATTTGTGAAAACACAGGCAAATGAGCCTGCTCTCGGCTCCAAGCACTTGGAGAAATCCTTGTCCTGCGACGTCTTTACAGCAGGACCAGACACACTGGTACTTTCGTCAGTGACAAATGACACTCAAAAGAATTCAAAGTTGTCATCTCTACATTAGTTGCAACATGAATAAAAGATGATCACTGGATAGTCTGTTTACTACTAAGACAGGAGTTGGTCTTTCCATATCCTGCACCTGAGTAGATTCTCAAAATTTTCCACAAAATGGTATTACATTCTCAATTGAAAAGTGGAAGCAACATGCAGCTTACATTCATTTGAAGCATTTAAATGGCTGGAATCTCTGCTTATCCAAAAACGGCAAAAAGAAACAAACCACTGGAACCAAAAATTGAGGGCCAATGGAGGAACAGTTTCTTAAAAATTATTTGAACCTAAAATGCAACTTTTATCAACTGTACTTTTGAGAGAGACTAAAAACCTGAGCCTCGTGCCAACATCTCTCTTCCATAGTACCCAAATTCTCAAAGTGATGCATCTATTACGTAGATGAAATTTGCAATGAGCAAATGGTACACAGTTCAAAGTGTCCTTCATCCTCCAAAAGAATGTTGTTCCATTGGTTCTGTCATGTGAAAACATTAACAAAAAGGATAGAGCAAATAACAACAGAAAGAGCAAACCCTGTGTTGTTTACTTAATAATCTGTGGACAGTCACTCCAGGCCTTTGCTTTCCTCTTGGCCAAGGCCAGCCAGGCAGGCTCTGTTGACACCGGATTGGCATCAGCGGAAGAGAACCTCTTTGTGACTTCTTTCGCCAAGGGAGATGATGGAAGCGAATTCGAGATCTCCACTGTTCAGGAGAAAAAGGAGAGATCCGTTACTGTACAATGAGATTGTAGAAACTGGCCCTTTGCAAGAGCAAGACACTTCTAAATGTGCACAGTTCTTGTAATGACATTCTAATACCTTAGAAAAGCAAAGAGGTTGGAGAGAACTGCCTGCTCACGACAAAATCCAAAGGACTGCATAGTGCATAGGGCAAAGGAAGCATAGTTTAAGAGCAATCCTTGGGATTCTTTTTCTTTTATACTTTGCAACAGAGAGAGTTCTAGAGAGCATGCCTTTTGTTTCACTTCCCTGTTCATTCCTCAGGAGGTATATATTCACACGTAAGAATGAGCTTTAGGGACTCTTCTACTACAATATGGGTACCTTCTTTTGTCTATTCCACTTCCCCTCCTGAAACAATAGATGTACTTCTTAGTATTATGAGAGTATTCTGAGTACAGTGTTCCCTCGTTACTTCGCGGTTCACTTACTGCAGACTTGCTATTTCACGGTATATATATATAAATTTAAGTAGCAAGGGAAACTGTAGCGAGGAGGAAAGAAGAGCCGCCCCCTCGCCCTCTTTACCTTCCTCTTCCTCTTCATCGCTGCCTGGGCCTCACGCCACAGCTTGGGCCCCATGACACCTCCGCCGTCTCCTCAATCGCAGGGCCCAAACAGTGCAAAAGGCCCAGGCGGCAATAAGGAGGAAGACGAAGGTAAAGAGGGCGAGGGGCAGTCTTCTCCCCTCCTCGCTCTCTTTACCTTCCTCTTCCTGCTCCTCGTCACTGCCGGGGCCTCTTGCTGCTGATTGGGCCCTGTGACACCTTTGCCGCCTCAATTATAGGGCCCAAGCAGCGGCAAGAGGCCCAGGCGGTGATGAGGAGGAAGAGGAAAGTAAAGAGGGCGAGGGGGCGGCCTTCTTCCCCCTCTTTACCTTCCTCTTCCTGCTGCTCGTCGCTGCCAGGGCCTCTTGCTGCCAATTGGGCCCCGCGACACCTGCGACACCCCCTCCTCAATCACAGGGCCCAAGCAGCGCAAGAGGCCCTGGCAGCGACGAGCAGCAGGAAGAGGAAGGTAAAGAGGGGGAAGAAGGCCGCCCCCTCGCCCTCTTTACTTTCCTTGGGCCCTGTGATACTTTCCTTGGGCCCTTTGCTTGGGCCCTGTGATTGAGGAGGGGGTGTCGCAGGTGTCGCGGGGCCCAATTGGCAGCAAGAGGCCCCGGCAGCGACGAGCAGCAGGAAGAGAAGGTAAAGAGGGTGAGGGGCAGTCTTTTCCCCTCCTCACCCCTTTACCTTCCTCTTCCTGCTCCTCATTGCCACCGGGGCCTCTTGCCGCTGCTTGGGCCCCGCAACACCTTTGCCACCCTCCTCAATCGCAGGGCCCAAGCAGCGGCAAGAGGCCCAGGCGGTGACAAGGAGGAGGAAGAGGAAGGTAAAGAGGGTGAGGAGGGAAGGGGGAGCATCCCTATTTTGTGGTTTTTCACTTATTGCAGGTGGTCCTGGAACATAACCCCCGCGATAAGTGAAGGAACACTACCTCTCTCCCATTTTCTACCACAAGCTCATATTGTGCTGGCTATGCTGCACTCTGTTTGATATAGATTGATACCAAATATTCCTACACCGATGTCCACATAACACTGGCCCCAATGTGCAAGGCCCAGGAGAGGGTCACTGCTGCTGTTGTGTATTGGTGGTGAAGGGAGAACTAGACAGTGAAGATGCACCTGATCTGAGCTCTGAGTAGAAGGAAAAGGCAATTTCCTCTCTGAGTGCGCCCTTGTGCCTTCCTCCTCCAAACCAAGACAGATGCTTTCAAATAAATATCTGAACTGCTCCCCCTCCCCACTAGTAAGCAGCCGTTGGAGCCCCTTGCAGGGTGGAGAGCACAGCACTGTGTGGGCAGAGAATTAAGCTCTAGCTGCTTAATGTAAGAGATCAACTCATGACTCCAGTCCAATAAGGACAAAGTAATTAAGACAGCAAAATTGCATGTCTGGATTACTCCCACTTCTAACCTGAAAAATTATTATCAAGGGAATAGAGTGGGTAGAACCCCCCTCCAGTTAGAAATCCAAATTGTGCATTCAATTCTCTTCAGCCGTGCCCTGGGAAAAGCTCTTCAAACCTTGCTCAAAAGAGGACAAACACAGAAACTTTACCTCTGCCTCTTGAGATAGTGAAAAGGGTTGATTAAAGATCATGAATTTAAAAATAGTACTACGTTGTACAATAAGAGCCCCATAGCTGCAGAACCCATATTTGCTGTTTCACTCACACAGGGGAAAATTGGTCTCTTAAGTAATTTGACAGATCTTCCAGGTAATGCTGTGTGTATGCTCCCCTAGAACAATGGTTCTCAACCTGTGGGTCCCCAGATGTTTTGGCCTTCAACACCCAGAAATCCTAACAGCTGGTAAACTGGCTGGGATTTCCTAGAGTTGTAGACCAAATCACCTGGGGACCCATAGGATAAGAACCACTGCTCTAAAAGTTACCACAGAGTTATATGGTAGTGAGTCTACACTACCATATAATACAGTTCAAAGCAGGTAATCTGGATTTTATAGAAGGGGCCTAAGACAGTGGTTCTCAAAGGGTGTTCCGCAGAGCTCTTACAGCTGAAAACGTTTGAGGACCTGTGCTCTAAGGAATGCTGTCACCAAAACTCAGGTAGAGTAATGGTGTTCAGTCATATCCATGCATTCAAATAACTAGTTTTATGGGAATGTATCCACAAAGATAGGGAGTGTAAGGCCCCTTCGATATTGCCCTATATCCCAAGATCTGATCCCAGATTATCTGCTTTAAATTGAGTTATATGAGTCTCTACTGCCAGATAATGTGAGATAAGAAGATACCTTATATACTCAAGTATAAGCCGACCTGAATATAAGGTGAGGCACCTAATTTTACCACAAAAATCTGCGAAAACTTATTGACTCAAGTATAAGCCGAGGGTGGGAAATGCAGCAGCTACTGGCAAATTTCAAAATAAAAATAGATACCAATAAAATTACATTAATTGAGGCATTGTTGGATATGTTTTTGAATCTATATAAATAAAAATGTAATGTTTTTTGGAATTAACATAACTCAAAAACTACTGGACATATTGACACCAGATTTGGACAAAATACACCTTTCAGGCCAACAAGTGACCATCACTCATAAAAACACTCAGAAACACTGTGGAAGGGACTTAAAAAGCCAAAAAAGCAAAAAGATGCTACAGTGCATGCGCAAAAACGGCTCCCCCTGGTAACCACAACACACAATAGCATACCCACACCCTCTTCTGAACTACAGCTCCCAGCATCCCCTAGACCAGGTCCTTTAGGAGAGGAGGATGATCCAAATGCACTGCTTCCAAGCTGCAAGCTTTCTTCTCTTTGGATTTCTTTGGGAGCATCCCAATACTTACATATTTCCAATTTCCTATTCCTGGACTGCAACTCCCAGCAATCCTCCAGATATATAGATTAGACAGAGATAAGTAGGAAAGCAGATCCATCAGGAGGACTGCTGGGAGTTGCAGTCCAAGAATAGGTAGAGAAGGAAGACGGGAGAAAGAGGAAGGGAAAGAAAAGGGGGAAAGGAAGGGAAGAGGAAGAGAAAGAAAGAAAGAAAGAAAGAAAGAAAGAAAGGAAGGAAAGAGGGAGAGAAGGAAGGAGAGAAAGAAAGAAGAGAAAGAGGGAGGAAAGGCTGGCCACAGCAACACCTGGCTGGTACAGCTAGTATTTTCATAAAACTGTAATTTAAGGTAAGATTGTCCAACTCTGATTAAATCATTATTCTAACCTTCTTCAATGTAAATGTGCTTACATATCTTTCCAATAATCAACAGATTATTTTAACTACATTTTGGGAGAAATGCTGTGGGTATATGAATAAAGAAAAGTGAGAAAGACTGGTGCTGAGAGAGGAGAGAATGGCGTGTGCTGTGCAAGAGAAAGGGTTGAAAAACTAGTCTTATACTCGAGTATATACAATAATCTGAGATCAGATCCTAGGATATAGGAGCAGTGTGGAAGGCGCCATACTGGATACTTTTTTGGCACTGAAAGCATTTTTGTATGATTTTAAATGTCTCTAAGAAACAAGGCAGTAGGATTCAGTCAAATGCCAATGGAATGAGGATATCTTCCCAGTATCTCTCTACATGATGTCAAAAATCTGCATTAAAAACTGCAGCAAGAGCAGGTTTTTAGGGGAAAGAGGCCAGTGGAATCCTCCAGAAATACACCACAGAAATCTTGGTTAGAGATTGCTTCCAAATTGGGTCAGAATTACTTAACTCAGAGTCCTTCCAGACAGGCCCTATATCCCAGGATCTGATCCCAGGTTTTCTGCTTAAAACTGCATTATATGAGTCCACACTGCCAGATAATCTGGGATAAACAAAAAACTTGAGATCAGATCCTGGGATATAGGGCCAGTCTGGAAGGCCCTCAGTAGCCCTATTTTCAGAGAAAAGAGCTCAATCCTGGGGAAAAAATGCAGCTGATGGTGCTTAATTCATCCCCTCCGCAATTGTTCTTAATTTATGATTTTCTTATGCGAGTAGGCTATTATGTGGATAAGGCGTACCACTTACCTTCACCCCCCATGCAGCAGTAAATAATATGCATGTAAAGTTTTACTCAGCCCTCCGTCACGTATTACCCTTTTGTGAAATAAAACTAATTCTCTGCACTCTGGCTTTTATCACCTGAATTTACTGCTCCTCGATCAGCTAATCAGCCTCTGAACTTTAAAAAGGCACATTTGGAGAGTCACACAAAAGAGGTCATAATTAGGCAGCAAAATCTAGAGACTTAATGGCTTCAAGGCACTGGAGGGAACAGTGTATTTATTATACGAGTTCATTATTCATTATTGTAGCAGCTTTTCTAACCATCTGCCAGCATTTGCATCCAAGAGCAATATAGAAAAAATGGATATCACTGGAAATATTTCCTACGCATTTCAAAAGGTCAAAAAAGAAGGATTTCCCCTTATTTTTACTCTTTTTTCCAAACCATGAGCTGCATCTTATTCAAGTTTCTTCTGGGAAAGAATTATCTGAATACATCCAGTTTGTTAGCTGACTTCAAAAATATTTTTTTAAAAAACAGCCAGAGTCAATGTGGTCTATAGTGGTCACCACCCTAAGTCCCTTCCACCATCCTGAGTCCCTTCAGGAAGATAGGACAGTATATAAATAAAGATTATTATTTGAAACACAACAAGATGAGCCCACAGCAGACAAGATCACTCTGCTGGCTGTTGTACTGGATCGCACGTTGGACACTTCCCAAGTGTCTAGGACTGTGCGATGTATTGGCGTATAATGTGTGCAGATCCCAGTAAGGTGGCCTTTTGCAGCTGGCAGATGGTAATCTTGTCAGTGCTGATTGTGTTTAAGTGCAGGCCAAGGTTTCTAGGCACTGTGCCCAGTGTGCCGATCACCACTGGGACCACCTTTACTGGCTTGTGCCAGAGTCTTTGCAGTTCAATCTTTAAATCCTCATATTGAGTCAGCTTTTCCAGTTGTTTTTCTTCAATTCTGCTGTCACCTGGGATTGCAACATGAACGATCCATTTTAACACGATCGTGAGGTCAGGAGCATTGTGCTCCAAAACTATGTCAGTCTGAATTATTATTACTATTATTTGAAACACAAGATGAGTCCACAGCAGACACTCTGCTGGCTGTTGTATTGGATCACATGTCGGACACTTCCCAAGTGTCTAGGACTGTGTGATGTATCGACTAATAATGCATGCAGATCCCAGTAAGGTGGCCTTTTGCAGCTGGCACTAGCAGATGATAATTTTGTCAGCGTCAATTGTGTTTAAGTGCAGGCCAAGGTCTTTAGGCACTGCACTCAGTATGCTGATCACCACTGGGACCACCTGGTTTATGCCAGAGTCTTTGCAGTTCGATTTTTAAATCCTCATATCGTGTCAGCTTTTCCAGTTGTTTCTCTTCAATCCTGCTGTCATCTGGGATTGTGACACTGACGATCCATACTTTGTTTTTTAACATGATTGTGAGGTCAGGAGTATTGTACTCCAAAACGATGTCAGTCTGTATTATTATTATTATTATTATTATTATTATTATTATTATGGCTTGAATGTCAGACTAGGCCCCATCTATATTGCTATATAATGCAGTTTCATAATGTAGTTAAACTGCATTATATGGCAGTATAGATGGGACCCAAGGCTGTGAGAGAACTCAGGGATAAAATCCCACAGGATTTCCTTAAGCAAGTCACACATTTATCCTTAAAGGAAGGACGGCAATGGCAAACCACCTCAGAACAAATATTGCTAAGAAAACCCTATGATGTGGTCATCATAAATTGGCAACAACTTGAAGGCACGTAAAAATAAGATAGGCACACAAAAACTGTAAGAAAAACCAAAGTAGTATGACTGTCATCCTCCCACAGAGGGTGCCACAATTCCACTAAGGGAGGCATGGAGAAAGTAGGTGACCATGGAAATAATTATTTTATGATAATCAGGCTGAAAAGCATGTGTCCCTGGCATGAAAGAACTCCATCTTCTGGGAGTTGGATGGCACAAAAATGGACAGCAAGACACTAAACATTGCATTTTAACTATGTTTTAATATGTGATTTTATAGATGTATTTATGCTCCACCTCGAACTGAAAGGAGAGATGGGATGATGATAATAATAATAATAATAATAATAATAATAATAATAATAATAATTGTTATTAAGATCCAACTCTCTTATAATTCTTTCAAATGACCAAGTGGCTACAACTGTGATGAAAACTGTAAACTTTACCTGTCACAGATGTAGGAAGAGTGTTTGATTTTTTCAGCTGTTCTCTGCGTTCAAGCCTTGTCATCGCTGTCTCTTTCTTCTCCTCTTCCGATGCTGCAGGCTTTAGTAGTGTGCTTGTCCTGCTGGTGTTTTTATTATCCGACTGACTGTTTATGCTGGCCTAAAGTAAAGCACAAAACGAGAAATACAGCATTAACAATATTAATATATTTCTAACACGAAGAGAAATAGTCATTGAGCTCAGTAGTGCCTACTTACAGAGAAGTACATTGCTATGTTTGTGACCATTGATTTATTTGCATCCTTATTTCTGGCTTACTACTTGCCTCAATGTCTCCCCAATACAGCAAGAAGAATAAAATCATTTTAAAACCATACAACTGAAAAAAATTAAAATTCCTATTACAGGCAGTCCCTGAGTTATAAACATCCGACTTCCAAATGACTCATAGTTAAGAACGAGGGTGAGACAACAGGAAGTGAGAGAAATCTACGCCTAGGAAGGAAAATGCACTCCTGGAAGCGTTTCCATGGGGAAAAGGTGTCTCCACTGAAGCTTTATTTAGAAAAGAAGACTCAGGAATTTTTCTGACTGGTGTTCTTCTCTTAGGGCACAACAGATGCTACAAGTATGTATATATTTATTGCACATTATTCGAAAAAAGCAATAGCTAAACCTCTTTTCAATTATTTTATTGACCATGCTAAAACCTTTTCAAAACTCGGAAGACAACTGCAAAAAATATCAAAATGTTCACATGATATCATACTACTTTTTTTTTCCTTTTTAAAAATCTACTTTACAGACTTACATTTTCTTTAGCGAGTTTCTCAGCCTGCTTTGCCTCCCTGGCTTGCCTCCTCTCCTCTCGGGTCGCTTGCTGCTCTCGAAAACCTTTCTGCTTTTGCAGTGCTAATGTGATCCAAAGTGGCTGTGCGGATTCAACCTTTTCCATCAATTTTGAGCCATCTATGGAATGCCTGCTCTGAAGAACTGGCCTTTCTGGAAGATAGAGGACAACACAAAAGGTTTCCATTTGTAGAACAGAGACTTGGCTGCTATGGGGTGATTTTGGGGAAGTTATACACTTTTAGTCTCAGGACCCTTCCACACAGTCATATAACCCAGAATATCAAGGCAGAACATCTCACAATATTTGCTTTGAAGTGGGATGTCTGAGTCTACACTACCATATATCCCAGTTCAAAGCAGAAAACATGCAATTTTATTCAGTTGTGTGGAAAGGGCCTCAGCAAACTGGATAAGTTCACATCAGATGTGGTTCCTGTACCAAACCTTTAAAATGCTGTGACTCATTCACTTTGAGTTTGAGTTTGGCTGCATTCTTCTGCACAAAGAACTCTAGAGGAGATGTCAGTGCAGCAAACTTTTCCAAAGCATTCTTAACAATGCTTTGCATCCTCACATCTCAATTCAAGCTGCCCTAGAAATGTCAAAACTAGTCTAATCTCCAAGCATCTGTGTGCACTAACACCTCCGTCTGTTTCTGGAAAGTGAGTGGGTTTAATTTTGGAATTATTTTATATTCTATTTTGGGAATATTTGAACAAATTTTGAAGTTTGTAAATGTCACATAGAACAAAGAGCGTCCACACACAGGTTGTCTGCAGAAAGTTCATGAACCAGTCTTGTGTTCACAGGCTTTGATGTTGCACAAAATGGTTCACTAGCAAGGGTTTCTCCATTCCTTTCAATGGTACAAAAAGCTCTGCAGAGGACTTGCGTAAAATATCACTGAAGTGAATGAAAACTATTGTACATATCAGCTCTATAGATAAAAGGTAAAGGTTTTCCCCTGACATCAAATCTAGTTGTGTCCGACTCTGGGGGTTGGTGCTCATCTCCATTTCTAAGCCAAAGAGATGTTGTTGTCCATAGACACCTCCAAGGTCATGTGGCCAGCATGACTGCATGGAGCGCCGTTACCTTCCCACCAAAGTGGTACCTATTGATCTATTCACATTTCATGTTTTCAAACTGCTAGGTTGGCAGAAGCTGGGGCTAACAGAGGGAGCTCACTCTGCTCCCCGGATCTGAACCTGCGACCTTTTGATCAGCAAGTTCAGCAGCTCAGCGGTTTAAACCACTGCACCACCGTGGGCTCCTAACCTACACACTGCGTTTGGGCACTGGCCTTTACTGGAATCAGCATGCCTAGATGAAGATATGGTTATGATATTGCCCCTCATGAGCAGGGCAAATGATTAGGAAAACTGCAAGTTATATAAAACCTAAGTTATATATATTTGCTGCAATTTATAATAACGTAGGACTGCAAAGACATCCGGCATGGCATAACGATTTCAGTGTTTCATTAGGACACTAGGTGACCAGGGTGTAAATCTCCACTCGGACACAGAATGTCACTAAATGGCAATTGGGCAAGTCACACTTTTATCAGCTTCAGAAAAGCAATGGCAAATGCCCACTGGACAAATTCTGCAAAGAAATCCCTATAAGCCATACATGACTTGAAGGCACACAACAGCCACATCTCCTAAAAAGTCTGCTGTGGTCGCATATATTATGTATTTATGTCTTAATATCAATAACAGTCCCAGGAATTCAGTATAGGTATTTTGTAATGTTTTGGGGGAGTATATTTATACACAATGACACAGAGCTGAATGTCTGCTGTGATGTGGGATAGTGTAAAAAACTGTCCCTGTGGCATCTCATCTGAGATGGTTGGCTGGAATCCTGTATGGGAGTTACATCTTTACACACTGGCTTACATAAGCAGGGATTAGAATTGGTTGGTTTGGCAATGTCTATATTTAGTAGAGAGTTACTATTGCATTATTGCTCACAAGAGCCAGAAAAATGCCCAATGCACAGTGCACAACAATGCACGGTGTGAAACAATGTACATTAGGCACTCTTTCCAATGTCCTGATATGCATCTTTGCAATCTGCTAACAGGAATTCTTAGCACCTTTATATTTAGCTAAATATACATACAGTCACTTAAGGTGATACAGGATTCTGGCAGTTCTTTTTATCCATGGAAATCATCACATATACAGATGTGTGAAATCAGGGCTAATGTAGTATCAAGACTATGTTGCTAGTAAAGTAAAGGTTTCCCTTGACATTAAGCCTAGTCAAATCCGACTCTGGGGGGTGATGCCTATCTCCATTTCTAAGCTGAAGAGCCACCATTGTCCATAGACGTCTCCTAAGTCAAGTGGCTGGCATGACTCCATGGAATGCTGTTACCTTCCCACCAAAGCAGAACCTACTGATCTACTCACATTTGAGTGATTTTGAACTGCTAGGTTGGCAGAAGCTGGGGCTAACAATGGGAGCTCACCCTGTCCCTCGAATTCGAACCACCAACCTTATGGTCAGCAAGTTCTGCAGCTTAGTGGTTTAACCCGCTGCACCACCATGGCACCCATGTTGCTAACATATAATAAAAAACTAACAATGCAACACTTTAAGGCTGATGTCATCATAGAGTTACATTTAGAAGGTGCATGTTTGCCTACCTTTTTTTAGTGGCTCTGTCTTTTTCTCTGTTTTCTCTCTCCATGGCATGGTAATGGATGGGAAAAATGACTTCTTCTCCTTCGACTCTTCCTCTTCGCTCTTGTTTCCTTCAGGTGCTTGTGAAACCAGAGCACTCCCTTTAGCTTCAGTTTTCCTCCAGGCTGGATCAGTCTCGGCTTTACTCACCCTTTGCCCCAAAGATTCGACTGCAGGAGGCCTGCGTATTTTTGCGAGAGGAGATGGTGGTGGAGTTTGGCTGGTAGGCTTTGGAGCCAATGCAGGCTTTTTGGGGGCTGGTGATATACAAACCAATTTCTCTTGACTAGCTGTGGACACATGGCCGCTAGTTGGTAAAGATACTGGTGTCGCTGTACTGTAGCTTTGATTGACATTAGATGGGGAGATCTTTCCAGAACTAACACTAGCATCCTTTGTCTCTTGGCTAGGAGATTTACTTGCCTTTGAAAAAAGATTACTTGGCTCTTGTTCACTCTCTGGGGTGACGAGAGGAGTTGGAATGCCATCAAAACTATCTCCTGCACTGTACCGTTTCTTCTTCTTTTGGTCTCCTTGCTGATCATAGTGAAAACGCAAAGAATAGTTGGTCCTTCTCAATTTTACACCAAATGGGGACACGTTTTCTTCTCCATTTGGTGAGACTCGGTCCAGTTTTCTTGTAGCAATGTTCTGGTGAGATTCCATATTCGGAGAGGATTCTGGCTGGGATATTTCTTTACTTAGTGGGCCACTTGGAACAAGAAAAGATGGAAGATCTTTGGCAAACTTACAACCCTCCGTGTTATCTGCCACCTCATGATGCACTTCAGTTTTACTCGCAGGCAATCTAGGTACATTCCCTACATCTATCAGTGGCTCAGTGTGAACTCTCTCTCGCTTTGCACTGATAGTAGCTGGAACCAATTCTTTTGCTGTTGCATTCTCCGCTTCAGTGCCAACCTTACCCTCAGGGTCTGTATTAGTTTTGGAGACTTCTGAAAACTTTTGCCATGCTGGAGTGATAGAAAACTTTGCATTTGCGGACAAAGTCTTCCGTAAATTACTATGGGAAGCAGTTCGTCCTTTAGGTGTCCAATCATCACTATGTCTGCTGGTGTTTCCCTTGTCTTTCTCATTACTTTTCCCATTTTCTGCACTTTTTAGGATTTTTGACCTAATGGAAGCCCACTCAGCCAATATGTCCTGGTTGCCCAGTGGATCTTGAGTGTGTTTTATTTTACTGCTGCTAGGCTTGGCATCAGGAGATTGTTTCGGAGCACTTTCTGCTGGAGCCATATCCGCCATTTTTCTTTCTTCTGTTAAGCCAAGTAAAGATTTACAAGCTGTATCTTTGATCTGATTGAGGTTGACCGCAGTGCCACAGAGCTGTGCTCCAGTGACCAAAATTGCTGTATGTGGGACACACAAAGAGGTTGGAAGATCATGTGAACACTTGGGAGTCTTTGATTCTATTGCAGTAGAAGGAGCTGGTGTCTCTTTAATGGGGCTAACTGGGCTCAGATTAACTTTCGGAAATATAATTTGTTTTTCGCCTGAGGATACTTGAAAGGTGAATCCCCTGGGCATAGTCTGTCTTGCATCAACTTCCTGCCATCGTAGCTCTTCGCCATGAATCCTTTCTTGTTCCTGAGTTTCAGTGTTCCTTCTCTCACCATGCCTTAGAGTTTCTTCTTTCTTCTGCCCCTTGTCTTTCTGCTCTGACTTTTGCTGGCTTGCTTCTTCTTTAGGTGGAAGTGCCTTCTTTATGGTTTCCAAAGGTTTCTCTTCTGCATTCAGATTTTTGTCTGGTTGCGATCCGGATAATTTGTTCAGTTCTTTTGTCTTTTCCTGTGGCTGCAGTCCTTCTACATTTAGTATTTTTGCTTCTTCTGGTTTCTGTCCCTGTTCCCTTTGTAGTAAATCTTCCTGCTGTGTTCTCTTTGTGTCCAATTGTGTTTTGGACTCTGTTACTTCACATTTACCATGTTTTGCCGATCTAACATGCTTCTCAGGTTCTTGTTGTGTTTGTTCATCGCTGTTCATTTTCTCTGCCTTCAGATTTTCCTTTCGCTGCTCTGGTCTCTTTTGTTTCTCCACCTTCGTGGTTCTTCCCTTCTTTTGCAAACTATCTTCACCTTCTAGATTTCTAGTCTGTTCTTGTTCTTTTGGCTTCTGCCTTGTTTTTTGCCCTTGAAGGACTTGTTTCTTCAGTTCATCGTGCTTCTCTGTCTCGTGTGCTTTTTCTTCCAGCTCTTGTCCTCTCTTTCCTTCTGAATCCCGATGCTTTGCTTTTTCTTCTTGCCATTTTTGCTTCTCTTGTTCTTGTTTCTTGTCTTGCCATCCATGCTGTGACAGCTTGTCATAAGTTTTCCCCTCCTTTATTTCTTGATGTCTCTTTTGTTGTTTATCTTCCAATTCTGACTGGTTTTTTTCTTCTCGTTTTCCATGCCTTTGCTTCCCTTGTCGACTTTGGGTCTCCATATCACATTGCCTTTGTTCTTCTGATTGCTTTTGTGCTTCCAGTTCATGCTGATTTTGCTTTTCCTGATCCTTTTGTGCCTTCAGTTCATGTCTTTCTGCCTCCATTTTGCATTGTCTTTGCTCTTTGTGTTGTCTTTGTGCCTCCAGTTCTCGTTTTGTTTGTTCTTCTTGCTGCATTTGTGCCTCCAGTTCTCGCTGTCTTTGTTCTTCCCGTTGCATTTGTGCCTCTCGTTCACGTTTTCTTTGTTCTTCCCGCTGCATTTGTGCCTCCAGCTCTCGTTGTCTTTGCTCTTCCTGTTTCCTTTGTGCTTCCATTTCATGTTGTCTTTGTTCTTCTCGTTTCTTTTGTGCCTCCATTTCACGTTGTCTTTCCTCCTCCTGTTTCCTTTTTGCCTCCAGTTCATACCGCCTTTGTTCTTCCTGTTGTGCCTCCAGTTCACGTTGTCGTTCCTTCTCCCTTTTCCTTTGTGCCCTCAGTTCCCGTTGTCGTTGTTCTTCCTGTTTCCTTTGTGACTCTATTTCATGTTGTCTTTGTTCTTCCCATTGTTTTTGTGCCTCCAAGTCACGTTTTCTTTGCTCTTCCTGTTGACTTTGTGCCTCCATTTCACATTGTTTTTGCTCCTTCCTTTGCCTTTGTGCCTTCAGTTCATGCTTTCTTTGTTCTTCATGTTGTTTTTGTGCCTCTACTTCTCTCTGCTTTTGGTCTTCTAGTTCCTGATGTTCAGATTCTGAGTACATAGGTTCCTCTAGTTCCTGAGATCTCTCTTCCTTCTTCCTTCCTTCCTCCTGTTCTTGGTGCCATTGCATCTCATGTTCTGCCATGTGCTCTTTTGACTCTTTTTGACTCTTTCTGTCTTCCATTTTTAAACATGGCTCTTCTTCTTGAAGCTTCTGCTTTTTTCCTTCTTGTTGCCCTTGATCTTCCTCGAATCCCTGAACTCTTTTGTTTTCCATATGGCTTTTTACTTCTGTTTCAGCTATTTTTTTCTCAGTCATAAGTCTATCTTCTTGCTTCCTTTTGCCTTTTGTTTCCTGTTCATGGCTTTCTCTAGCTTGGAAGGGCTTTTCTGCATGATGGCCATCCTGTTTTAGGATTTTGTCTTCATACTCTATTGGTTCCAGGATTTCTGGTTCAAATTCAATCACTGATAGACTTTGTAGATCCTAGTATCAGAAAACAAAACCAGATTTGACTTTTTAAATTATGCTCTATGGGGTAGAGAGCTGATATTTTATAAAATAATTATTTTACATGTTTGTAGATCATTACGATGCTATTTATTTGTGTTTACGTATTTATTTTTGATCTTCTGACATATACAAACACATACCATAATGAATAATAAAACATATTCCAACAACCAAGTAACCCATCATCCAAGTACTTAACTATTCAATAGAATTCGATTCTGAAAAGGGAATAGAATGTCACTACAATCTTGGGACACAGCAGACAGAAACACTTATCATCTCCAGTATGCTCTCAGACTGTATTTCATTTATTGCAATTGGTGAACTATGCTGGGTGTGAACTATTGCTGAACCACCGATGCAGAGATTTTGCTACAAATAAGAAAGTCAAGAGATATCTGCCAGTATTATATAAGTATGTTTTGTAATGCAGAGGCTTCATAAGCTGAAAGTCATAGGCCAGGATTCTCTTGGTGGTAAACACTTGTGTAACCTGGCTGTTTGGATACTGTGGATAGAGATATTCAACATCTCCCAGCACAATACTTTCTTTGCTGCCATAGGTTGTTTTGAAGCAAACTATGCCAGGTTTTTATTGCCCTGAGGAGTATTGGTAGTGCCTAATTTTTATGCTAACACTTCTTTCTAAACATTTTAAGAAAATATATTTATTTTTCTTTACTACTCAGCAAACAAACAGCAAAAACAAAGCAGATAGTTTCTGATCACCCCCTTTTAATAACATACGAGGGTTGAATGAAAAGTAATGCCTCCACCTTTGTTTCTTGGGTTTGGATGAGAATATTTTAATAAATCAAATGCAGAAATAATCCTTATGTGCTCTTTAACTACCACTATTCACTTTTCCACATAATCACCAGACAATTGGATACATTTCTGCCAACATGAACAAGTTTTCTGAAGCCGTCACGGAAGAAGTCGACACTCTGTTTCCGCAACCAGCATCTCACAGTTCTCTCAACATCTTCATCAGAAGCATAATGATGTCCCCACAGATCTTCTTTCATTATCGGGAACAGATGGAAGTCAGATGGTGCTAAATCTGGACTGTATGGAGGATGTCGTATGGTGGTGAGATCCAGTCTCTGAAGTTTCAAGTCTGTGTGCTTTCATTTCAGGCGTCAGCATCCTGGGTACCCATCGTGCACAGATCTTCCAATAGCCAAGCAAAGCAATAATGTGACCCACACGTTCTTGTGAAATGCCGATTATGCTTGAAATTTCTCTCTGAGTGATACGACGATCATCCTGAATCAATCTGTCAACCTTTTGCTTGTGAAACTCGGTGGTTGCTGTCACAGGACATCCAATTGTTTGTTTGTCATGCAAGTCAGATGTTCCCACCTCAACATCTTTAAACTTACTCGCCCAACGATGCACAGTACTCACCTCAACACATTCACCAGAAACAGCTTGCATTCTCTGATAAATCTCCTTTAGGGTGACACCTTCTGCTGTCAAGAATTCAAGGACCTCACAGCCTCTGAGGATGCTTGCCAACCGTCTGTGCAGGGTTCCATACTTCACACTTTAACAACACAACCATTCAATGCTATGGCTTCCTGCCAAAATGGAACTGTAGAGGAGAGTCTACTGAACAAGCCAGTACCTGCCGCATACCAGTACTGCCATCTGTTGAGGAGTTACGAAGGTGGAGGCATTACTTTTCATTCAACCCACGTATATGTACCTAATGAAATTTCTCAGGAATTTTATTTCTCCATGTTTGTACGACTGAAGAGTTGGTCCTTTAAAAATAAGACATGAATCAGATGACCATACCTAGCAAAATTATATGAGACCACCAATGGAGAGCAAGGCGACAAGTCCTGTGACTGTTTCTCCACATATTTAGAGTAAAAGCATTCTCAAAACTGATCATTATGGCAAAACTCACAAGGTTTCTTTTCATATATATTATGTCTACTATTCTGAAATATACCAATGATCTGGGAATGCTGTATTTCATTGCATAGTAATTGAAAAGGAGGGGTGTGTGTGCAACTATTACTTCATGAAAACTATTGTGCCAGTTTTATGTACAAAAAAGACGCCATCCTTGCTGTAGTCTAGCTAGGCTCCCCTACGCATGTGTCCTGCTGCACTACATAGTTTCACCTGTCCACCCACTCCATTTCAGCAAGGGCGCTTCACTCACTAGCTCACCCGCCTGCCCCATTTCAGGAATGGCCCTTCATTCACTCGCCCACATTCGTGCTTGCTTTTTAGGAACAGCACTTCATGTGGCTGAGTCTGTAAACACTGAGTGCTTTCGGACTCAGGCATGTGAAGTACCATGTCTGAAAGGCGAGTGGGCGTACGGGCAAGTAAAGTGGCATTTTATTCATTCACTTGGTCACCTGCCTGCTTTCAGGTATGGCAATTCATTCACTCACTCACTGCCTTTTCAGGCCTGACACTTCATGTTCAGTGTTTTCAGACTCAGCCATGGGAAGAACTATGGGGATGAGTGAGTGATTGAGTGAATGAAGTGCTGCCTAACTAGGCTTTCTTCTCCACTCACTCATTCACTTGCCTATCCACCAACCTTTCAGGCATGGTGCTACATTCACTATCTCACTGACTCGAGCACCTACTCATCTTTCAGTATTGGGCTTTGCGTGGCTGAGTCCAAGAGTAAGTGAAGTGTCGTGTCTGAAAGGAGGGTGGGCAGGGAAGTAAGGGAATGAAATGCTGCATCTGACGGGAGTGGTGTTACAGTAAGTCGTAGCAGGATCAAGTGTGTGTGTTAAAGAAAAACCTTATGATGTTAATTATTATGTGCAGCTGGTAATGTAGGTCATCTAGCATGTTTGGACCCGGTGGGGTATAACTGTATGGATTTTAGACCACAGTCTGAAGAAGCAATATGCTGCTCTGAAGGAGATGCAATATGTTGTAATGCTGCTATGCTCTAACAGCAATGCTCTTTGCTATGGTGGAATAGCTCTTTACTCAAGGTTTATGTTTTGCTCTCTCATTTGAATGAAGACAAAGAAGCCTTATTCTGTGTTACTTACAAGGATTATGTAAGTTTGTTGTACTGTTTGATTTTGTATGCAACACCGCAAGTTTATGTTTTGCCTCTGTTGATAAGACTAAAATTTTTCTCTTCCTTTTTCCTCTTGTCTGTGTGTCTTTTGCATTGGACCTGGCTAAAATCTGCTTCTGCGCAACAAGCTGGTGGGCGAGTGAGGTGCCCTTGCTGAATAATAATAATAATAATAATAATAATAATAATAATAATAGTTTTATTTCTTGCTCGCCTCTCCTCATGGCTCAAGGCGGGTTACAGCACTACTAAAACATAAGCAAACACAGAATCATAGAGTTGGAAGAGACCTCATGGGCCATCCAGTCCAATCCTCTGCCAAGAAGCAGGAAAATCTCATTTAAATCACCCCTGGCAGATGGCCATCCAGCCTCTGTTTAAAAGCCTCCAAAGAAGGAGCCTCCACCATACTCCAGGGCAAAGAGTTCCACTGCTGAACAGCTCTCACAGTCAGGAAGTTTTTCCTAATTTTCAGATGGAGTCTCATTTTGAAACATGCCATAAAAGGGGAGGTATTTATGTAGAGCAGCAAGACACATGGAAAGGGAAGCTTAGCTTGTTTTCCTCCACTAGCCACACTTGTGTGTTATTCATCTCATCTGCAAACAGGACATTGGGACAATGTAGCAAGGATGTGACTATTATGTGAGCTAAACAAAAATACCAATTTTGAGACTCCAAAAATTGAGTGCGACTATTACATAGTGGTGTCTATTATACGATGAAATGCGGTAAACGTTATGGAATTAATGGGACTTTTTTTCTGAATAGGCAAGTTCAAGATGGTACTGTTATCTTTGAAAACACATATCTATGGCTAAGGATGAGCATTTTATGTTTTAAAAGTACAAAATCCTGTAAACAAAAACATCCGGATTACAGTTTAGTGTGAGATATGGAAGAGAGCAGCGTGTTCTTGCAGTCAGCATTTGTGGTGACCAGAAGTGATGCTACCCTACTTCATAATCTCTATCACTGAGAAGATTCAAACTAGTTTTTAATATATTATTTTTAATAATAGAGTTCTTAATAATTGTAAAATTATTTCTTCTGGCTGGAAAAATGTGTGGTTCATCAAGACCTTGAGAAGGCTGTGTTGGATCCTTTCTCAGTAGTTCATGCACTCTGTAGACCACAGGAATCAAATCAGTGCTGTAAATAATGGCAAATGAATAGTGGTTGGTGACTTTCACATCAGCAATGCAATGATGAAAGGGACCAAGGTGTTGAAGCTTATCTTCAAAATCCAGGGTGCTGAACTTTGTATAGCTCTTTTAAAATTTTAACTTCAAGCATATTTAGCATTTTACTGATACTGAAGCCACCAACTGCCACTGGATGAGAATACAAGCGTTTTCTTTGTATTTACAATAAAAGGTCCTTCTGAGAACTGCACTCTTAACAATCAACTTGCCAAATGTCACATAGAAACTAACAAGTGGGAGGGTGATTATCCCTGGCAATCTGCCCCCCAGTGTTTGGTAGTTAAGGGCACAATGTCCCTAAATATAAAAGTTATTTTCTTAGATATTACACAATATGATTCCCTTACTCAGACTAGTATCCACAGTTTCACCAACTCACATCTCACAAAATATGTTCTCTCCAGGAATTGTCTAGTTCCTCCAGAGAACTAAGGCAGCTTCTGTGAGACGTCCATCATTTTAATATGATTCATTGTTAGCTATACTTATTTGATGCCGTGGTAAGTTCAGGAAAGTATTTCCTCCAACCCAGATATGGGACTTGGAGTGTAATGCTTTAGTAAAGGGGTTCTCAAAGTGTGCTCCATATAGCCCTTGGGGCTCTGTGAGTGATAGTGAAGGGTTCCCCAGCGCCATACTGCTTCCTGCCTCCTCTTCCTCCTCCTGAGAAATGCAGGAAAATAAAAATTTGGAGCTACTGAAACAGCAGCAGTAGCACTAGCATTCTCCCAGAGTACAGACCTTTCTCACCAGCCTTCCTCGCTGCCCAGGCTCTTTCTTGCTTCCTAGACCCTTTCCCCACATCCCTCTCTGCCCAGACTATTTTTCTTGCTGCCCTGATCCCCCCACCCCACTGCCTCTTACCAGAAGGGGGTTGGACTGGATGGCCCTTGGAGTTGCTCCTATCATCATCATCATCATCATCATCATCATCATCATCATCATCATCATCATCATCATCATTCYTACTACTACAAAGTCTGGATGGGCATCTGTTGGGGGTTCTTTMATTGTGCTTTTCCTGCATACTGGCCCTTGGGGTTACTCCTATTATTATTATTATTATTATTATTATTATTATTATTARTARTACTACTACTACTACTACTACTACWAAGGCTGGATGGCCATCTGTTGGGGGTGCTTAGATTGTGCTTTTCCTGCATGCCAGAAGGGGGTTGGACTGGATGGCCCTTGGGGTTGTTCCTATTATTATTATTATTATTATTATTATTATTATTATTATTATTATTATTGGATACATAACAAGATTAGTACACAACAAACAAGATCACTATGCTGTATTTTGCATTTGATCACACATCAGACACTTCCCAAGTGTCTAGGACTGTGATATACCGGTGAATAATGCATGCAAATCTGAGTAGGGTGGCCTTTTGCAGCTAACAGATGGTAATTTTCTCAGTGCCAATTATTTTTAAGTGCAGGCCAAGGTCATTAGGCAATGCACCCAGTGTGCCGATCACCACTGGGATTATTAGTATTATTATTATTAATTATTAATATTATTATTACAAAGGCTGGATGACTATCGGTTGGGGTGCTTTGTGCTTTTCCTGTATGGTAGAAACAGGTCGGACTGGATAGGCCCTGGGGTCTTCCACTGAAATACTGTTAAGTTTATGTTTATTAAAATTGTTCTTAATTTTAAATATTGTATTGTTCTTTCTTTCTTTCTTTGCATTACAAACAAGATTTGTGCAGTGTGCATAGGAATTTGTTCATTTTTTTTCTGCCTCTGGCCTGGCTCTTCTGTCAAATTTTAAAATGCCATGTGGCCCTTGTATTAAAAAGTTTGCCCATGCCTGGTACAAATACATTATATAGAATATAAAATATAAAATATAAAAATATATTTAAAAATATAAAATATAAACATTTATTGGTGCATTGGTAAGCTAACTAATTATGACTAACTGTGTTGTTGTTGTTTATTCGTTCAGTTGCTTCCAACTCTTCATGACCTCATGGACCAGCCCACGCCAGAGCTCCCCATCGGCTGTGGCCACCCCCAGCTCTTTCAGAGTCAAGCCAGTCACTTCAAGGATATCATCCATCCATCTTGCCCTTGGTAGGCCCCTCTCCCTTTTTCCTTCCATTTCCCCCAGCATCATTGTCTTTCCTGTATTCTAACTGTACTGACTAACTGTATTTTCAGTATTTTATTTTTTCTGATCTGCATCACTTAAAATCTCCCCCCTCCATCTCATCCCACCCCTGGATATATGTGTAATTCGGGATTACATTTCTTGTATTTGATGAACTATAATACAAAGATGATCTGTTTTGTGTATGCCTAGCTCATACAATAAATCTATTATGTCAATGTCTTGTCCATATTCAGGTCCCCTTACTCTTTTCTTCTTTTTTGTAATCATATTTTAAAAATCCAATATATTTTTAAAATGATAAATATGTTAATCTACTAGCATTTTTATTTCAGTATACTATCTTTCTGGGAAAACATATTAAACAGAGAATAAACTGTATCTAATGTTCTTTTCCTTTTCCAAAATCTCTCCAGTTGGTACAATTTTTGATGCTGGTCCATGCACATGAATAATAAGTAACGTATTGTTAGATCAGACTCAAAGACTGCACGAAGCTGTGAGTGTCCCATGATAAAAACAGATAAAGTGCAGACTCCTTTTTGTTATTTGACTTCCCAAATCTATTCCATACCTTTGATAATCTTTTGTGTTTTGTGGAAACCCTCTGATTCTTTGGTTTAACAGAGAGTTTGTGCTTTGCTGCGCTATTGTCCAGACAAGTAATCGCCAGTGGGATGGCATCAAGGTTGACTGTTTCAATTGTGCCCGAGGGTGAATGATGTCTTTTTGGCCGAAGCGATACCTTCACTGGAGTAACCTGTACAGATCACACAAAGAAGCCAACATGATTCAAACAATAGAATTCACAAAAGAATATGGAAACTCAGCAACATTTCCAGAATGAATTTTGGATATTTCTTCTGCCAAGCAATTTGCCTATTTGCCTTCTATCTGTAGAGTTACTACAGATACTAACTAAGGTATAGTATTTGGACCCCCAAGCAACCTGGCAAATCCAGATTCTTGTAGACTCCAAGCAAGAAATAAATTTGCCTCCAGGAGAATTGAATAATGTGCCTACTACTACACCTGGGCAGGAATTGTGGTACCTATACACCACCCTCCATGCCCACAAAATGTTATGTTAATACTTGTGATTCTTTTAAAAAATCATATATATGTATGTTTCAAATTTTTATTGTGTTGGAAGTCACTTGACAAACTCCAAGTCGCTTCTGGTGTGAGAGACATTGCCTAGGGGACACCCAGATGTTTTACCATCCTGTGAGAGGCTTCTCTCGTGTCCCCAAATAGGAAGCTGGAGCTGACAGATGTGAGCTCATGCCATCTCACGGATCTGAACCACCGACTTTCCGGTCAGCAGTTCAGCCGGAACAAGGGTTTGACCCATTGCACCACTGTGGCTTCTATGCACATTTCAATAATGTGATGCTTCAATGATCTTCAGCTGCCCACCATCTAACTTACTCTTGCCACTGTAATTTACAGAATTTCAACTATACGTTGGAATAAAGGTCAAGATAAAAGAACTGGGTTACACTGTGATCCATTACTAATTTCATCTTGGCATTAACAGCAAATCAAGGAGTTCATGCATTCCTAGGGAATCCAAGACTATAAACAACATTCACCTTCAAGGCAAAAGCAGCAATAATTAGAAGAAGAAAAAACAATCCGTTCTGATTTCCTTGGATTCAGCCTGCCTTCCCATCCTGGTATAAGTGTTCAAAGACGTGATCTTTGTTGTTTGGTTTTTAAAGCATTTTTTGAAGAATGCTCCTTTGCTTTTCAAAAATGTAAGCACGCTTTCATGTGTAACTAACCACATGAAAACAGCAAGACTCACAAATAAGTCCTCCATGCCGCTGTGGCATCAATGGGCTCAGGAGGGCCCCATCATTGCCCTCCTCCAGGCCACCACGGCACCAAAAGGCACAACAGGGCCTTGCCATCACCCTCTTCCAGACCGCTGTGGCACCAACAGACCAAGGAGGGCCTCGCCATCACCTGCTAACAGGCCGCTGTGGCTCCAGTTGATTTGTTGTTGTTTGTTCATTTTGGCAATGAATGTTTGCTACTTGGTTACATTTATTTATTTGTTTGTTTATTTACCATATTTATATACCGCCTTTCTCAGCCCGAAAGCAACTCAAGGTGGTTTACAGTCAGCACAATTCGATGCCCCCAATAACATAAATTACAATTAAAAATATTTAGCATATAATATAAAAACCATAGAAAACCAATAAAAACATAAATCCTCAGCGTCTCATTTTGTCTGTAAACCGCCCTGAGTCCCTTTAGGGAGATAGAGTGGGTTATAAATATTATTATTATTATTATTATTATTATTATTATTATTATTATTATTTGAAACACAACAAGATGAGTCGACAGCATACAAGATCACTCTGCTGGCTGTTGTATTGGATCACATGTCAGACACTTCCCAAGTGTCTAGGATTGTTGTCGTTGTTCTTGTTGTTGTTGTTAGCAAATGTATTAAATAAGGCCTGACATCCTGTTGGTTATACCCATCCTGTGCCAGTCAATACATAAATAAATCTATTAGATTCAATGGGTTAAACCCCTGTGCTGGCAGGACCGCAGGTTCTAGTCAGAATCAAAGGATTTAGAGGTGTGATACAAAATAGGAAACGTTAATAAGTACCTCAAAATCACCCACATTATTTTTATCTCTAGCTATAGAGCAAGAGATCACAAGATTGTTCTGTAGGGCAAGCATTCTAGGGCAAATTGTTGAAAATCTGCACTGCTTGTGTTTCTAATTATTGCTGCTTTTGTCCTCATAGTGAATGTTGTTTATAGTTTTGGATTCCCTGGAAATGCATGGGCTACTTAATTTGCTGTTAATGTCAAGATAGATACTATTTTCTTGAACGATAACTCTCAGAATTCCCCAGTCAACATGGCAAACCTACTGCAATATATGATTGCTTCTTTTATCTTTAAGAAACTATTGCTTCCCTTCTGATTAACAAAATCTCTGATAGGGAAGTCTGAAATCTGAACATTTAGGAGGAGACCCTTTTAATTACCTTCCCACGGTTAAACTCATATTAGCTTGTAGTCTAAGGCAGAAGTAGATAAAATTGCCTTTTAATCTGATATTTGTTTGCTCGTGTTTAATCAGATAATCAACTGCTTTGCAGAAATAGCCAACAACATCAGCAAGATTTTGGCAATGGCAGAAAAGAGCACAGAATAGGTAGGTTTTTCTCCACAATATTTTCAAGGAGGGAATGGATCCTTTGCCTATCTTCTACACTTATCTAGGAGGGCTTTGCTGGAATCTGATATCAATCTATTCACAACACTTTCATGTCTCCTTCCTTCCTTTCATGACAATCCATGTGTTAACATTGTTTTCCTAACCATTTCATAACCAAATTCACACTTGCTTACTCTTTACAGCAGTTCTTCATTTGAGTAAGTATGTGTATTGATCTCAGTGTTGTTTTAGCAGCAAGTTTATTAGGCAGCGGCACTTCCTATATTCCTTCATCAATTCCACTCCCCCCCAGTTTTAAATTTCAGTTTGAGTCTAATTTCAGTCTTCTGAAAAGATTTAATCCATGATAGTAAACAAACTAGTAAGGTAAAGGTTTTCCCTTCATATTAAGTCTAGTCATGTCTAATCTGGGGGATGGTGCTCATCTCCATTTCTAAGCCGAAGAGTTGTCCGTAGATGCCTCCTAGGTCATGTGGCCAGCATGACTGCATGGAGCGCCGTTACCTTCCCACCGGAAAGGTATCTATTGATCTACTCACATTTGCATATTTTTGAACTGCTAGATAGGCATAAGCTGGGACTAATAGCAGGAGCTCACCTCACTCCCTGGATTCAAATTGCCAACCTTTCGGTCAACAAGTTCAGCAGCTCAGCGGTTAAACCCGCTGCACCACTGGGGGCTCAGTAAACATACTACTAAGCTGTTTATCCAAGCAAACCTGCTCGGCCCTACTTACAATTACTTTGTAAGTGTACACACTATTCTGTACTAAGGTCAGAGACTGAAAATGTTTCAGTAGAGTCAGCTCATGTGTCTACAGTAATATTCTTTGTAAGGATAAAAGATATTGCAGCCTGTACCAGATGAGCTTGGCAGTGAATGAACAGAAGCCAGAAAGGATATGCCGGAGAAGTCATGTTGACCATGAAACAAAACATGATGTTCATGATGTCATAGCTTTATTAAAACACAAGACCAGCTTTTGATAAAAGCATTACTTGTCTTAGGATGAAAACAAAAACAACCAAGACTCAAGGGACACAACAAATCTGGCTTTGTTACTGAGTGCACAAGCAACAAGCGGCCTCAACCAACCTTGGTGCTCTGTCTAGTGAACGAGAATGATACGTGTGTTTAAAAATACCTCTTTGATAAATTCAAAGATCTGCCCTTATCATCTCTAAGAAGGATTTGGAGTCCAGTTCAAAGAACAGGGGAGCCCTCGGTAGCACAGCGGGTTAAACTGCTGAACTTGCTGACTGAAAGGTTGGCAGTTCGAATCCGAGGAGCAAAGTGAGCTCCCACTGTTAGGCCCAGCTTCTGCCAATCTAGCAGTTCGAAAACATGCAAATGTGAGTAGATCAATAGATACCACTCCAATGGCACTCCATGCAGTCATGCCAGTCACATGACCTTGGAGGCATCTACGGACAATGTCGGCTCTTTGGCCTAGAAATGGAGATGAGCACCATCCTCCAGACTCAGACACAACTAGACTTAATGTCAAGGGGAAACCTTTATCTTACTAGAATGTTTGCTATTATGGATAGTAGATCAATAGGTACTGCTTTGGTGAGAAGGTAGTGGTGCTCCATGCAGTCATGCCAGCCACATGCCCTTGGAGGTGTCTACAGACAACGCCGGCTCTTTGGCTTAGAAATGGAGATGAGCACCACCCCCCAGAATCAAGGGGAAACCTTTACCTATACTTTACTAATCAAATAACAGGTCGGACATACATATTGAACTCTTGTTTCCCTACATCACCCTCTCCACATACTCTAAGCAGACTCACTCTTGATGCTGCATGTCAGGTGAGGAAAAATAATGTCAAAAGAGAGAAAGGGATTTCTACTGTTCAGGGTGTAAAGACCATGTTCTCTACAGGAATGGCACAGATTTGGGCCTAAAGAACGCTTTTACTTTCATTGCATGAATCTGACCCACACAAGCTTATATTTCATGGTTAATCAATGCTTATTCTTATACTATTTTGAGGATGAATATGTGAAGACTTTTTTGGGGGGAAATGTACTTAGCTATTCACAAATATTACCTTCTCTTCTCCTCCAAGCCTTGTTTTGTGCAGACTTTCAGGGATTAATGAATCTGGCATGTTACCTACCTAGAAAAACAAAAACAACAAATGAGAGTTATTGATCAGTAGGTGCATGTTATTTCTGTCTTTCTTTCTTCCTCCACCTTTTACAATACAATAATGCTTCCATGTCGGGAACTATTACTAGGATTCATCGTAGACATAATTTAGACATAATGCCTAAGGCAGGGGTCCTCAAACTTTTTAAACAGAGGGCCAGGTCACAGTCCCTCAAACTGTTGGAGGGCCAGATTATAATTTGAAAAAAGCATGCATGAATTTCTATACACACTGCACATATCTATTTTGTAGTGCAAAGACCAGTTAAAAACAATACAATAATTAAAATGAAGAACAATTGAAACAAATATAAACTTATTAGTATTTCCATGGGAAGCGTGGGCCTGCTTTTGGCTGATGAGATAAGATTGCTGTTGTTGTTGTTGTTGTTGTGTGTTTTCAAGTTGTTTCAGACTCAGGTTGACCCTGAACAAGGGCTGGGTAAATGACCTTGGAGGGCTGTATTTGGCCCTTGGGCCTTAGTTTGAGGAGCCTACAATGTGTCTGCATTGTAGAATCCATGCAGTTTGATACCACTTCACCTGTTTTTGATAATGTTGTTGTTGTTTGGTGTATATGTTTTGATTTTATTGCTGTATTATGTTGTCCGGGCTTAGCCCCATGTAAGCCGCTCCGAGTCCCCATCATCAGGGAGATGGTGGCTGGGTAGAAATTATTATTATTATTATTATTATTATTATTATTATTATTATTATTATTATTGCCACAGGTGAATACCTAATAGTGTTGGTGCTACACCAGACGTCCGTCCCTATGATTCAACAGTACTGAGCTATGGCAGTCAAAGTGGTGTGAAACTGAATTAATTCAACAGTGTAGTTGAACCCCTGAGTTCTGGAAAATGTGAATGCCAATCTCAAAAACTGAAAGATAGTGCTATGGAGAGAGAGATGGGAAGTGGGCAGGGGGAGAGAAGGGGTCTATGTTGTTAATTGCAGCAGTAATATGTTTCATGCTTATGTCTATGATGTTTTTATGGTTTTAATCTATGGTTATATATTATCGATTTAGATATGTGATATAGATATAGACATATACGTGTGTGTGCGTGGCATTGAATTTGCCATTTATTATGTTGTAAACCACTTTGAGTCCCCGTAGGCCCCCCCCCCCCCCGGGGTGAGAAAAGCGGTATAGAAATGCAGTTAATACATAAATAATAATGCATGCTGCTTATAATACATGCAAGTTCCCAAAAGCCTACAAAGGAAACACCTTATCTCTAAATTTCAAGGTTGTTGACACTGGTAGTTTTACAAATTGATCTCAATGTCATAGGTCTACATGTTAATGTCCTCAGTGTTGAAACTTGGCAATATCTAGTTTTCTTCATTTCTTTCCCACATCAATTCCTTTTAAAACATTTATCAATTCCCAGGGAAGTAGAAATTAAAAGCAACACTGACACTACTTTGGATTAAATGTTATTTCTCTCCCGCAGAGTTAAGGGCTCCATGGGGAAGCCACTGATTACTGTCTGAAGAAGAAAAGCTTACTCAGCTCGGATTCTTCCTGAGACCTTCAGAAGCATCATCCATCATTCTGTCACTTAGCACTGATAATGAGACTAACACCGAAAGACATCTGACAACCCTCCAAATTAATTCTGGCATCTTCTGGCTCCACCTGCCAGAGAAACGTGTCCTGTTCCCAGACCATTGTCAGTTTTTTGAATGAATAAGGTTGTGGGAAGTGATAGTAGAATACACATTATTCCCCATTATGCCAATTCTTAATAATGATGCAACAACAAGGGTGGCAATTTTCATGAGTCAAGGGGCCCTATCAGACAGGCCCAAAATGCGGGACTTGCCTCACGTTTACCAGTGACGTCCAAACGACAAATTAATGCTGAGCAAATCAGATTTCCCTGGCTTTCTCCGCATTCATTAAATACCTCATTAGATCCGGATCTTTATGAAAGATCCAGGTCTAATGAGGCGTTGGACCTGTGGGGACTGATTTTTGGAACTTCTTCCACAGCCCTGGGAGTCAGTCCCCACAGCCATCCCATTTCTTGGGGCTTCAAAAAGCCGAGGAGTGAGACGTCACTCATCCCTGGCAGCCATTTAGCTTCTTCTTGTGTCGTACTGAGTGGAGGAAATGACACATGAGGAGACGGGAGGGAGATCAGAGGGATTTTCCTCTTATATCCCTGCCCTATTTCCCAAACAGCTAAGAATGGATTTTTCTTTAACTTTGGTTTCACTTCTAACTTCTGCTGTAATCTGGCTGAGCACCGTAATTGCTGGTTTGTTTGTCTTTGCTAGCTAAAAACACTTCTTCTGTTCAAGGCTTCACCCTGACCATCTCCTTAGGCATAATTTCTCTATTTAGGACGACATGAGGAGATGTGTTTGTATGTCAGCCTGTTCTGCCTGTGATCGTGTCTAATGATCAGGTTGCTTTGGATGATGGGAATTACAATGTTGTTCATGTTCAAGTTGACTCCTCTGATGGGAATGGGTATGCTGTCCATGAAGATGTTCCTGAAGAGAATGGGGATGATGCTCTCTTTCCTGGGCCTGGTTTTAGAGATGTGGGGACTGAATGCAGTTCACATGATGGGTTAGAGAGGCCTGTATTGCTGCAAGGGGATTCTCAAGGTCTTGAGCCTGAGAAAGGCTGTGTGTCGCAGTCCCCTGGTCAGTTATCTCCAGGTGCAGATTTTAATGAAGCCTTGAACAGAAGAAGTGTTTTTAGCTAGCAAAGACAAACAAACCAGCAATTACAGCGCTCAGCCAGATTACAGCAGAAGTTAGAAATGAAAACAAAGTTAAGGAAAAATCTGTTCTTAGCTGTTTGGGAAATAGTGCAGGGATATAAGTGCCAAGTACAGAATGGAGCTTCAGACGAAGCAACATTGGATTCACATTAAATTCTTCATGCCAAGTTCCTGGACCCTTGTCTTTGTTTGATTCCTGCTTTAAGTGCCTTTGCTGTTATTTGCCTTTGTAATCAAGCATCTAGTTTCATGGACTTCTTTGGACTATTTCTCTTTGGACTAATTGTTCCTTTTTCTTCCTCATCAATTGGATTTACCCTTTTACTGTGGATTACTTTTTTTGCTTTAGCTTTTATTACCCTCAATAAACTGCTTGCTATTTTAACTCAACTATGTGGTGTTTAAAGTCAGAGGGGATCCTGCTCTGGAATGCAAGAAGAGGCTTCATGGCTACCACGGATCCTTTTCAGTAAGTTTTGGGGGCTAAATTTGGGACTTGGGGGTGGTTTCATGCTATCCCGATTTCAATCCTGGGGGAAAGCTCGGGGCTTGACTTGGGGGTGGAGGCTAGACCCAGTTACTTTAACTTGTTTCAGTACGGGTTTTAGGCATGTCTGGAAGGGTCCAAGGCTATTATCCCACTTACTTTAAACCAAATTGGGTGAACATTAGTTCATGTGTATTATGGTGGCATCAATGACAACAACTATCAAGATGTAGCCCAAAATATGGAACAGAAATGTAAAGGTCCTAGATTGGCTTTGAGGAAATCGATTGGTAATTTTTAATTGATCATCACTGTATTTTTACTGTCCAGAAGATGGAAAGAGATGCTTTAAATGTAAATGGAGTATTAAATTTTGTTTTGTTCCTATTAATGGATGATGAAAAAATTGAATTAAATAACTTGATTAGCCTGGGATGCTAAAAACCATGATTATGGGGAGTGGCACTATTTACTACTGTCCCCAGGACTAGACCCAAAGTGATCAAACCCTATCTAATCAATGTGTCCATAAAAAGCCTCCTTGAACTGTGCCATGTTTCTATGGATGCTACAGCTATGTACATCTCAACAAGCTCATCTATTCCAGATACACTGGGAACATGTTCAATTTATATGCTTACTTTATTATGGCTCTCTGGAAGGGCCACATCCTGCTGCATTTCCGCTTCCATTGGACTGCTCAGTAACACATCTGCTTCCAAGCTAGAACTTGCTTCCCCAGTTGTCTTCACTGAAACTGTCATCTGCGGAGGCTGGCCAAATTTAATATTCTTGGCCAACTGTTGCTGAAAAATAAAACAAAATAGCATTCAAAGAAAAGAAACCCCAGGATTGCTTAAATTTAGTTATTCCAATCCAGCAATAAGCAGCAGAGCAATGTACATATATTCCGGTCTTTAGGACAGTGGTTCCCAACCTTTTTTTTTTATCAGGGACCACTTGACCAAAGACAACTTTGTCCAGGGACCACTCTCCAACATTAGTACCAAAAGAGTTATGAATCAGTTTTTGGTCAACTTTAGATTTGGTTTGGTTATTTGGGGTGCTGATTCAGAAAATTCTATGGATAGACCACACAACAACTCTAGTTTCAGATACAGAACATATGCCATCCAGTAGTCGCCATCTGCTTGTCCACAAAAAACCATATTTAATAATCTAGAGCTGATGTGGTAGTAGTAATCTTTTGTGGGTAGTCAGTTGCTCCCTCCCAACATCCTTGTTGCCTTTGCACTATAAGATGGTTTTGTGAGACCAGTTGCTCTCGTTGCCGCATGGTTTCGAGGCATCGGTATAGTAATGGTAAGACCACAGACCATATTTTCGTTCTTGTGGAACGAATCTGGATTATATGGCAGTGTAGAAGGGGCCTTAGAAAGTAAGTTGCAGAAATAGGTTCCACAGAATAAAAGAAAGATGGGATCTAGTTAACATTTCTATGATCGTGTGGGAACTAGCAAATTTTATCTACTGTGAGCTCAAGTGTCACTTTGTGGAATTCACCTATTGTACCATTATAGAAGATGCCATTTGTAGCAGTTGTATAAAGATGTATTTTGCTACCTTCGTATTGTTATTTTGCAACATTTACTCATGTGAAATATTGCAATTTATGATTTGCCTTAAAGTGATGAATACGGACATATGTTTCACATGAGAACTCAACACACTTAAAATATATTGAACAAGTAAATGGGAAATTTAGTGTATCCTTCTTGAAATAGCTAAATGACTCATGCGAGCTAGAGGAGAAGAGATTGCTAATTATTTTATAAATGATAAGGAAATTTTCCAGAAGGTCTTGTCTTCCTGTCTGTCATCTGATGTGCAAAAATGTAGAGGAAATTAATGAGAGGGAGGAGGAGGAAGAGAGAGAGAGATGGGGGAGGGAGAGGGAGAGAAGTGCTTTTGGGATTGACAGATCCACAGAGGTATTTTGAATACAGAGGAGGTTTTTTTCCTAATCAGGGGAAAGTTAAAAGTATATTATGAAAACATGTATACAAAATTAAATCAGAATGATGACTCATCTTCAGTGTTGCTTAGGTCAAGATTGCATATTGTTTCTTGGCAGACAGAAATGAGTTTTCAAAATGTTCCTACAAGCCAAAGATCACATGGATTGCTTTACATAAAGTTTATTTTATAAGCAGAAGGCATAAAACACTGCTATAGGTAGATGAGCACCACCACCCAGAGTCCAACTTTTAAAATTGTTTAGATGGCTGAGAGTAAATACAGTACAACCCCTGCAACCGTTGGGCTGATACCAATGATTTCACTTCTCTGCACCTGGCAATATGTCCTTTCTAGGAATTTTCTAGGTCTATCAGTTGATTCTATGGTATGTTTCCATTGGTTGTTACCACTGAGTTGCTGTGGAGGACCTACAAAATCCCTAGAAAAACACAACACTATGGTAAATTCTGGTGGAAATGATTCATTTCAATAGGGTTTGCTATTACCCATGGTTTCCTGTTTCCATTTAAGTTCAGAAATGTATCCTCTGTAGATACAGGGGTCATACTGTACACATTGAAACTTTACAGAGTTGTCACAGAAACTGCTGTATGATCATTGTATTCACTGTTTAACAAATATTTCTTGAAATGGAAAACAAACACAAATAGATTTTTTATTTATCTGATAACGGCAACTAGGATCAAACTGGCACAATTATGGAAATCTAACAAAACACCTATGATGGAAAATTGGCTATTGAAAGTATGGGATATAATGAACATGGACTTACGCAAAATGTAACAGATAATAATATACAAACACAAAGAAGGTACTGGGGAAAATTCAATTAATTAATCAGAAAAGATAATGTAGAAATTTATATTCAGGAGGTATGAAAGAATCTCAAAGGCCAAATAACCTAAGGATACCAGACGGCAGAGAAACCTCAAGCTTCATGGAAAAGTTGATAACACAACCCAGAAGAACCTGGAAGTTGAAATTTGTTAAGCCATTTTTTCCTTTCCTTTTCCCTTCCCTCCCTTACTTTCCCACTTTCCAATCACAATTGTTCCCACACTTTTGTTGTAAAATTACCTTGAATTTTTAATTTTTTTAAAAAAAGTTTTTCACGCTTCAATCTACTGGAGACAATTTATTTTTAATAAAAATAATAAAAGAAAACCAAATATTTCTCTCTTTACCTAGCAGTATCTATGTATCTTCTGAATCTTGCCATCTTCATTTGAAGTCCTATAGAGTCTGAATTTACACCACCCTATATCCCAGGATCTGATCCCAGATTACCTGCTTTGAACTGAGTTATGTGAGTCTACACTGCCAGATAATCTGGGATCAGATTCAGGGATATATGGCAGTGTAGATCCAGCCTAAGTGTCTCACCTCTTAAAGAGGCAAATCACTGCACTCTCAAGACTAAATCTTTCAGAATAGCATCTAATACAAGTCAATATGGAATTTATGCTAATGGCAATTACAGGGAATAAAAATATTGATGCGAAGAACCAAAACTTATTTAAAGCAATGATTTTAGCAGGTAAGGAAGGGGTTAATAGCCTGGGGGTGGAGAGATGAAAAAAAGTGGAATTTGGAAAATTGGAATAATTATTTATTTGAACAAGTTCAATCAGATATTATTGAATGTATAACCCAAGAAGACTCACAGAAGGACAAAACAGAAGAAATTAAAGAGAAATGGGCAACATATATGAAATGGGTAGAAGAAGGCGAAACCAGCATAGAAATTGTACAAAGATTGCAAAAGTTGTGTGCGTGGTTAAAAATAAAGATATAGAGAGAAATGTGGTGGGAGGGGTAGGAAAGGGTGGTGGGAGGAGGGGGGAAAAAAAGAAAGAAGAAAATAATAATAAAAATGTAATATGAATAAACTTGTAAAGAATGCGAATAGATAATATTGAAATATGTCACTATAATGTATGCCTACAATAGACAAGTATTATCTGTTCAAATATGTTATTATTTTTCTTTCTCAATAAAAAAAATCTAAAAAAAAAAAGAATAGCATCTTAGAGGTAGAACTTCTTCCTTGGGAAGTGTGTCTGCACTGTAGAATTAGTGCAGTTTGACATCACATTAACTGCCATGGCTCAGTGCTATGAAAACATTGGAGTTCTACAAGGTTTTTAGGCTTTTCTGCCAAATAATACGGATACCTCACCAAACTACAACTCCTAGTCTCACAAGGCACCATCTTTTCAGAATTTTTGAGATACGTATGTGCATTGTAATGCAGTGTGCAATGACTTTAAGCATCAGCATGGGTTGCTGAAAGTCATCCACTCAGGGACCGCATGGCAATTTTGGGGGTTACACTTGAGTAGTCTATTGAATACAGGTTTTTTTTTATGCCCACTCCATGTTGATCTTTTTCTGTTTTAACTGTTTGCCTCTGTCATATATGATGAGAAATATGAGGAATGAGAAGTAAGGGTCCCATGGCGGTGCAGTGGGTTAAACTGCTGAGCTGCTGAACTTGCTGACTGAAAGGTTGGAAATCCAGGGAGCGGGGTGAGCTCCCACTGTTAGGCTCAGCTTCTGCCAATTTACCAGTTCGAAAACATGCAAATGTGAATAAATCAATAGGAACCGCTTCTGCGGGAACGCAACGGTGCTCCATGCAGTCGTGCCAACCATATAACCTTGAAGGTGTCTACGGACAATGCCGGCTCTTCAGCTTAGAAATGGAGATGAGCACCAGCACTCAGAGTCCAACATGACTAGACTTAGTATCAGGGGAAAGCTTTAACTAATGGGGGATGTATAGTTTAAGATGTGAGGCACTACACTTGGGAGGTTTTGCTGTCTTTAACTTCCAGCCCTCTTGAAGGCCTAGAATTGAGAAAGACCTCAGGACTCTGGCCAGTTTTGCCTTTTCTGTGCACTGAAGAGTAGGGGAGACATTGTGGGCAGATTTGGCCATATTTCTAATTTTCTTCTGGCTATGCAGTAGGCAGTGATAAAACTGATTCAGCATTTTTAAAAAATGGACTTTGAACCAATGCGACATTGCCTCTATCAAGGCATAATCTGTCTCAAAGTGTTGGAACATCTGTACTTTCAATCTGGATCATGGTGGAGTCCTTCAAACTATACAGGCTGGATCTACACTGCCATATCATGTAGTTTGAATCTGCATTATTGGTCAGTGTCCACCCATATAATGCATTTCAGTGCAGTTATACTGAATTTTATATAAGTCTCCACTAACCGTATAGTAGGGAGTTTTAGACTCCTTCTACACTACCATATAAAATCCAGATTATCTGCTTTGAACTGGATTATATGGCAGTGTAGACTCATATAATCCAGTCCAAAGCAGATCATGTGGATTATCTGCTTTGAAAATCTGCATTATATGGCAGTGTAGACTACAACTGATGGAAAGCCAGATCTACATATTTAAAGAAAAGTAGGCTTCTTATTCCATGTACAATATGATGATTTGAATGAATAAGCTAGCCTGAATACTAAGGGGAAAGCCTATGAATGAAGCCCTTGTGGGAAATAGTATGTGCTACTCTAAACAAACTAATCAACATATTCATTCTACATTAAAAACATATTGTCATCTGGAAGTGTTTGAATACCATGGGAACAAAGATGATGATGTTAAACATGTGAAGCATGCTCTTATTTGAAAAGTTATTTAAAATATTTGTTTCTCTGTATTTAATTCTACTTTCAGCATATCACAGATGTATTAAATGTGTATTTATTCAGACCAATGTATTAGCCTGAGTTTGGGAACTGAGTTTGAGGATTAAGACTTGTAGTCCAAAAAAAAAAAGGAATCCAAGCTGATATTAACATTTGGACATGACGAAAGTGAATCTACAGCTGTCTTGTTTTGGTCTGGACTCTGGGGAACCTTTCTTTTCTGGGGTTCCTTAACCTCTTAAATATTTTGGTTAAATGCTCTCATTAAGAACATTTCATCTGCCAGTTGTCTTTCAATATCTTTGAAAAGCGAAGCAAGTATTAAATGTCAAGAGTTCCAAACAAGGCATTAATATTTGCCATTTTGTTCCACTTATTAGTTCGTGATGACATTTTCCTTTAATAGCTGGAGCACACTCCAAACAATAGCCTGTTCATGTACACTTTGGGATAGCAAGTGGTATTCACTGCTGGAGTTCTTTTCTAGTCTTTTGTGCTCTTTCTTTAAACTATTTTCCAATTTAGACACAAATCTGTGTTAACCTCTGCTCCCAAACCTGTGCTTTCAGCATGTCTTATGTCTACACACTTAAACACTTCTACATATTGCATATACTCATGTGTAAGTGTTGGGAATCAGGAGCTGTTAGGCTCAAAAATAACCCTCACTTGAGGGTGATTCCACAAAATATGGGAGAGTGCCAGAAGCACAGTTCATAACCAGCAGAAACTTATGTGTAAAGAGCAAAAAATTGGTTTGCACTCAACAGGATGGAACAGGATTGCAGATCCACAACTTATAGGATCAAAATAATATGTTTATTAAAGATAAAAGAAATCCATTCTAGATAGGAAAGGTTCTTGGAGCTAACTAGCTTTTCTGAGCTATCTTCTAAGGAAAAGGAAAAAGGAAAATATAATAAAATAGCTATATCTACTATATCTTGCCTGGACAATGGCAAGATGCCTCCTTAGTCTAGCAGAACAAAGGAAGAAGTACGAGGCCAAAATGGAGAATTGACCATATGGCCTCACCAGGGCAATAAAAATACATTTAAAGAGGAAGTTACGTTTTCCCTGAAGAGATCACATTGCTAAATATTCAAAGGGGGAGGAGATAGTGGCATGCAGGATGACCCAAACAAATCCCCCCCCCCCCCATCAAAGCCTCTTTTTGAGATAAGGCATGCAAAAGGAATTTGGGGAAGGAATCCCTCACTCTATCTAGGCTAACTACTTATTAAGGGCCGGAGACTTGTGCAATCAGGGATGAAACCCAACAGTAAGTCTAGAATTTATAGTGAAAAATCTACCCAAACATTCTGAATTAACTTATGGGTCACTGTAAGCATGGTACCCTAACTCTCGTCAAAAAAAGAAACTATTACCTTCTCTGAATAAAGTACCGAACGACAACAGCTTAGTCTGTCTTGGGAGGACCTTAAAGAAGCACTCAACCCATCTACTCCTTTTCAAGCCTTTCTCAATTCTAGGTGGGAAGATGGTGGTGGTGACAGTTCTTTGGTACCTCCTCAAAAGAGAGCCAAGAGAATCAAAGTGGTTGGTGCTTCTTTTATGTCCACCCAGGATGGAAGAAGCCCAGGATCACCCTCAACTTACTCACAGATCACATCAAAATCCACAATTACACACGAGGTTGACTTATACATGATATTTATATTCCTAGGTATTTAATCTACCAATGTACTGTACTAAAGTGGTTTGACTGCATTTTCAGTTTTCATGTTTTCTACCGCTTATTTTTGATAAAATAAACATTAATCAATGATAGATAGACAGATAGATAAGAATAGAATAACCTTCTTTCTTGATTCGTATGCCTTCCGTGCTTCCTTGACAGAGGATGTATTTATCAAGGCTTTTAGGAAGTTCTGGATTTCTCCCCTCCAGTTTAGCCTTTTAGCTGTTAATTATTCAGAGCAAATCTAATGAAGACTTAACTTGACGGTTGTCTCTTGTGAATAAAGCAGACATGTACTTTGATTACTGCTGGTTCTAATTGTGAAAGAGAGAAACCATTGCCATGTAGGAAGCTTGCAGACAGAAGTGGAAATGAATGTTTCTGTCAACAGGGAAGAAGTTGTTAAAAGGCATGTTGAGGCCGATGACACTTTATTTATGAAGCAAGGTACCATGACCTTCCCTAGAAGGCACTTTAGCTTTTCATACCTCACTGGAAAGCAAAGGTAACAAAAGAAACCTATAGAAAAGTAGATTTACAGATATAGTTTGCCCTCTGAATCACTTTCTGAAAGGCAGGTTTGTATTCCACCCATGGGTTGCATAGGAAGCTCTCTAATCCTTGTTGTTTCTCTCTTTTCTTTGCTGCTCACTCTCCACATCTCTTTCTTTCTGCCCTAGGCACCTCACTCTGGCTCCATGTACACAGGCTTTATAATCCACATCAAAGTGGATTATAAAACAGGGTGGCCAAATGACGCACGCCCATAATCCAAGCAGAACCGCATTAAACAGGGAAAATCTGGATTGAAAATGCATGCTCTTGAATACATTTCAATATGTCTGGAACCTCATATTGCAGTAGGCGAAACAGAAGCAATTAAAGAAGAGAGTAAATAAAAACAACGTGATTGTTAACTGGTAAACTTTGGTCGATAATTCTTACCTGAAGAGTTTTGACTTTGCCTACGAGGTTGTCTTGGGACATTGCTTGAATGGACTCTTCACTCTCTGATCGCCCATCAGGTATGAAAATACTGTCATGGGAAAAGGCCCGTGTGCTCATACTATAACTGGAGGACCTATAAGGCAATTTGTATAGAGAGGATTAAATTTCAAACATGCTTCCGATCACAAATCCACTTCCACGCTGTCCAAATGTCTGGATTTGACAGGGTACAGTATCTTTCAGTCTTTTGTCATTCAACTTTTTCAATGTGCTTTTAACACTTCCCAATATCCAGAAACCATGAAAATGAACAAAATCTGGCTACCAGTATTAAAAAAAACTCTAAAATTACAACAGCAAAACAAAAGAGAGGAAACAATCACGGGCATCTAATCAGCTCCCAACAAAAGATTGCCCCAGGCACCAACAAGCCACACTAAACAATTGCAAGGCCATCAAATCCTAATCAAAGTTGTCGGTTGAAACATTCACACCTAGCTCCAACAGACAAGAGTTCTTTGTCCCATCCTGGTCATTCCACAGACATATAAACCCATTTTCCTAGTTCCAACAGACCTCACTACCTCTGAGTATGCTTGCCATAGATGCAGGGGAAATGTCAGGAGAGAATGCCTCTAGAACATGGCCATATAGCCCGAAAAAACCTACAACAACCCAAAAACTTTTGTCATCCTGACTATACTCTGGTGACTATACTTAGCCATATGTATCCCAGTTTTCATCAGCGAAATATTGGAAGGTATATACTGTACGCTCCATTTCATTCACCAAGGCATTTTTCATGTCTCCGAAGGGAAGAGCTTTCCTTGATTTGCATATATGCATTTATTTTAATTGGATTTTTTACAAATATGATTGTAAAGAAAAGTGTAAGAAAGAGAAAAGAAAAAAAGAAACAAGAAAAATGCATGTGATATGAATAAACACTAGACATATACATTGCTGTAACAACAACAAGATTTTATTATGATCTATGACCAGTACAGAGCATTGCTGTAAGCTGACAATTGATATACACTAGAGGTATTCATTAAATGTATATGTTATACTGCTTTGAAGGGTCAAGGACAGTAGTAGCCCTAAACCAGGGGTCCTCAAACTAAGGCTCGGGGGCCAGATACGGCCCTCCAATATCATTTACCTGGCCCTCACTCAGGGTCAACCTAAGTCTGAAACGACTTGAAAGCACACAACAACAACAACAATTCTATCTCATCAGCCAAAAGCAGGCCTACACTTTCCATTGAAATACTAATAAGTTTATATTTGTTAAAATTGTTCATTTTTATTACTGTATCGCTTTTAAGTGTTTTTTGCACTACAAATAAAATATGTGCAATGTGCATAGGAATTCATTCACGCTTTTTTCACATTATAATCCGGCCCTCCAACAGTTTGAGGAACTGTGACCTGGCCCTCTGTTTAAAAAGTTTGAGGACCCCTGACCTAAACGGTTAGGGACCTGCCTATCTTCATCATCGCATCTTCCCCTACGAACCAGCACGTACCCTAAGATCATCTGGGGAGGCTCTTCTCTCGCTTCCACCGCCGTCGCAAGCACAGTTGGCGGGGATGAGGGAAAGGGCCTTCTCTGTGGTGGCCCCTCGGCTCTGGAAGTCTCTCCCGAGGGAGATCAGACAGGCCCCCCACTCTCTCCCTTTCCCGCAAGGAATTTAAAACCTGGTTGTCCCACTGTGCTTTCAATTAGGCAGCTCACCAAAGAAGATCCCAACCTTATCTAAGCTTCTGCACTGTGGTTTGTTCCCCTCTAGCACTTCTAACACTTGAATAAGGTAAGGGCTTTCACCTCCTAGCCCAGCCCTCTGTTTGCCGCACTACATAGGAATAATGGCTTCTATGAATCCTGAGCCCAAACTCACTATTGTTGTCAGCCATGATATCGGTTTATGATGTTTGTCTGATTATAATCTTTTATTGTTTTTAGATGTTGACTGTATCTTTTGTGCTTGTTTTTAATTGTTGGGCATGTCCCTTGTAAGCCGCCCCGAGTTCCTTCGGGGAGATGGAGGCAGGGTATAAAAATAAAGTTATTATTATTATTATTATTATTATTATTATTATTAGTAGTAGTAGTAGTAGTAGTAAAGTATTCAATTTATTTATTTATTTATTTAATTTAGGAATTGTCTATTCCGCCTTTCTCCGCTTGCGGACTCAAGATAGCTTACAGCTTCAAAACACACTTATTCCAACCTTTAAAAGATATATACAACAATAAAATCATGGTAAAACAATAGCCAGAAGATCAATAAAATAAATAAAATCCGTGACCTCTTCTTCCTCTGCATTCCCTTTACAACTTATCTTTAACTATTTGAACTTTTGCCATTTGCGAAGATGGAAAAGGTCAACAAGCGAGACAACAAACAAATCACAGCTTTATACAGAAGGCATTATCTGGTAAAAATATTTACCCAGTTCTAGACAGATTGATTTCCTCAAGTCTGATGAATGTTGAATGTTTGCTAATAATAAATTGTTTTGCTATTTATTATTGTATTGCTACTTCTTTGGAGTGCTCATGAACCTTTCTGTCTCAAGTATAGCATGGACAGTCTTGAGTATTATGGACTTTGACTTTTAGGAAATGGAACATGTTTACTGTTCTGCTTCAGTTAGGAAAATCTCTGGGAAAAGAAGTTCATGATTATTGCTTATAGCCCATAGATGCTGGAGGGCAGCAGGTAAACTCCTGAGATCCTGAGGCTAGATCCACACTGCTAAATAATCTAGATCAGATAATCACATAATCCCATTCAAATCATATAATCAGGATTTGGGAGGAAGGTAAGGTATGGTTAATAGCAATGCCAACGGCAATGATGATATCTATGAAAAATTTATGAACCATTAATATGAGCCTTGGAATAATTGTACATCTACTAGATCATTTTCAATATAAATCAAAACAAAATATATGATATTGTATATAAAAAGAAAGTTGAACAGCAAGCTTCACCAGCCTCAACCACCTGAAGAATTAAGTGCCTTTGAATCCATTGATTTTAAAATGGTTTTAAGGGCACAACTTAAAACCATTTGTTTTATGTGGCACTAATGAACACTGAAACAAATATACAAATATAACAATTATTATTATTATTATTATTATTATTATTATTATTATTATTATTATTATGGCTTGAATCCCCAATCCCCCCGAAGGGACTTGGGGCAGCTTACAAAGGGACAAGCCCAAGAATTACACGTTAAAACAAGCACAATAAAATACAATCAACAACAACAATGAATAAAAACATCACAATTAGGCAATTATACAATTTTGTCGGCCATTGCCACTATCTTCAGAAACTCCAAGCACAGGATACTAATCAAATCTGAGAAACTAAGGCTGGACACTACACTGCTCTATTTCCCAGGATCTGATACCAGATTATCTGATTTGAACTTGATTATATGATTCTACACTGCCAGATAATCTGGGATAAACAGATAATCTGGGATCAGATCCTGCCTAAGGCTGGATCTACACTGCCATACAATGCAGTTTGAATAGTGTTATATGGTCAGTGTAGACCAAACAATGCATTCAGTATAGTTCAAATTGCATTGTATGGGTCTACACTGATCATATAATGCAATTCAAACCAGCCTAAAATATCACCTCCCATTGGAAGTCTCTGAATCACTAGCATCCAATAATTCATTCTTGCTGATTTCAGTAGAAGAGATTTAATCATACCTTTAATTATTCCACAATGGGTCTTAAAAGTGATTAACTCCAGCTGGATATGAACACTGGTTTACAGCCAAAAATCCATGAATATCAGAAGAAAACAACAGAAGTACTATTTTGTGAAATGGTATGTTGCAGCTAGCAGAGAGGTCCCTGCAGTGGACCTCTCTGTATGAGAGTTGAATTGCACTTTACAATGCCCATTCCCAACACCACATCCTCCCGATTGCTGGGACTACAACTCCCACAATCCCTAATTGGTACGATTGGCTGGAGAACTATGGGGGTTATAGTCAAACACAGTCACGGGACCCTATTGGACCAAGGGAGGCTGCATTGTAGTCGAATGAATGATGAATATGCAAGACTTAAGAGTAAGGAGGTAGCAAGTCTTACATAACAGCTTGTGTAAATGGAAGAAAAATATGGGGTCATTTTTTGAAGGTATCTAAGTTTGTAAAAGAGACTTCATTAGAGGAGGGGTTCCTTTGGATCCCACCCGATGTTCAGAAGAATGAGAAATTACAGAAAAATTCAAGATGTAAGGAAAAAGTAGATTTCTCTGAAGCATGGGATTGCATGTTGAGAAGGATGTTTCATCTTCAGCTCCTGCACGGCCCGTAGCAGAGGATGAAAAATTTGCTGTAGTGTAGTGTAGACACTCTGGGCCGGAGGTCTATAGGCCAAAACAACAGAACTCCGGCAAAGAGCGAATAGTTCTGGGACTTCTGGTTAGGCTGTTAGGGGATCTTTGACCTCATTTCCAGCCAGCGGAGCAGGGAGTAGTGGAATGCTGTGGGGGACGCATCTCTGGGGGCCCTGTGATCGCTATTACCAGCAACCATATATCCACAGCTACCATCACCCAATCTACTGTTCTGAAGTGTCATGGATTTCTAATTGACCATCATTACTGAGGGGGAGGCTGGGAGAGGCGAGGGCCTGTGCTATGGGTGCCGTTTCCCACCACTAATAGGCAGGTCAGTTAAAGTCAGTCAGGAAGGAGGGGGTAGACCTAACCTCATTCAGTAGAGAGTTCCATAGCCAGGGGGCCACCACAGAGAAGGTCCTGTCTCTCGTCCCCACCAAACACAACTGTGAAGTTGGTGGGACTGAGAGCAGGGCCTCTCCAGAAGATCTTAAAGCTCTTGATGGTTTATAGGGGAGAATACGTTTCGACAGGTATTTGAAAAAAACACGTTTAATTTGAAAAAAAAACATGAATGAATTTCTATGCATACTGCACATTATCTTATTTGTAGTGCAAAAAACACAAAACAATATAATAAAAATGGAGAACAATTTTAACAAATATGAACTTACTTACTTACTTACTTCGGCGATCCCTCGTTTTCCGAGGATGATTGTCTTCCAATATTCTTGTGGGTCCGTAT